AACAAAAAGTTGGCATGGTTATGCTTGATCTCAGTAAGGCCTTCGACAGGGTGTGGCACACCGGACTGTTCATAAAAATTATAAACATGGACATTTCTCCCCCACTGGTCAAACTCCTAGCCTCCTACCTGGAGGGCCGCACCTTTGCTGCCAGAACCGGAGCTTCCGTGTCCAACTCCCGCTTAATCAGATCTGGAGTCCCTCAGGGGTCAGTCCTTGGCCCGGTTCTCTTCAACCTGTTCATGACCGACCTGCCAAGAACTAGAGGAGTGGAAATGGCCCTATATGCGGACGACACCGCTCTCATCTACAAAGGCTCCAACCTCCAGTTTATATCAACCAAACTGCAGCAGGCATTAGACCGAATAAAGGCATGGGCCGACAGATGGCGAGTTGCGGTGAATCCAACGAAAACCCAGGCTATCCTCTTTCACCATGGCTATTCTACCCCTCCAGCCCTCACTTTCAACGGAGACCAGATATCCTGGTCCAAGACAGCCACCTACCTGGGGGTCACCCTTGACTCCAAACTTCTATGGCGCCAACACCTGGAGACAACAGCAAACAAAATGAAAAGTGCCGCCATCGCACTCAGACCACTGACTTGCGGCTCCTCACTGTCATTGAAGAACAAAAGGTTGGTCTGGACGGCAATTATTCGCCCCATTGCCACCTATGCTTGCGCCGCTTGGGTCACTGCAGCTAGAACCCATCAAAACAGACTAGAAGTCCTGCAGAACAGATATATGAGGCAAATAACTAATGCTCCAAGTTATGTCAGAAACACCCAACTCCGAACAGACCTTAACCTAAAATCAATGGCCCAAGTGACAGCTGAAAGAGCCAGAGACTCCCTAGTCAGAGCCGACCTCACAGGCAACGCGCTCCTCACTAATGCCATCGACTACAACCCCCTGGACCGGCGACGATTTAGAGGAGTTCGAGGATCTATCCTCGGACTCGCGGAAGAAGATGACATCTAACAGGCCAACGCTATTGTAAAAAGTTTACCCAAAGCCTGCAACGTTAACATTGTACACATATTATATAAAAGCTGGAGATGAAGTCAGACATATATTAATATAAAAATAAAAAAAAAAAATAACCAAAAAATATATAAAACAAGAAAACCAAAAAAAAGAAAACAAAAAAAAAACAATCAACACAATCATTCACTAAATCAACAATTAAATTAAAACTAAAAAAAAAAGAAAACAATAAAAATATTCACTTATTTTTGTCAGTCGCCTTCATCTCCCAAGACAACTTAACCAACCTTTTTACAAACAACATTTTGCTCCCCCTCTAAATCAACCATATTGCTTATTCAAATGTCAAACCAACCCTCATGTAATCAACTGATATTTTAACATGCACCACTAACGCTATTGTGTTTCAGCCCATGCCGGAGGTCCCAGGCTCCAACGTAAAATTCACGTTATTCTACGCAGACAATGGGAGCGCAGCTACTATTATAGTTTCTGTCGCTCCCATTCCCCTGCAATATTAAAAAGCCGCTGGCGGCCCAATCTAACCTTCCCATGTCGTTTCCTCCCCCCAAAAACCATTTCAAAAAAAAATCCGTAACCCAGCCAAGACCAACTCCATTCCAATAGTTAGGGTAAAAGGTCTACTGACCTACCCTTGCTAGGGCCAGTCGCCCAGCACTTAATTTCTTAGGCAACACACCTTTAATTATTTGACATTTTCAAATCGACATTTTAATTTTCGATATTATCATTTTCGACATTTTGAATTTTCGATATTTTGATTTTCGACATTTTGTATTTTCGATATTTTGATTTTCGATAAAAAGTGTTCGATATTTTGAATTCGATATAATGAATTTCGATATTGTAAACGTCACCCATCTAAAATTCAGATATGTATTTGTTTTTCGTAGATTTTGCTTGTACAACGGGTTATTGTAACTGACAAGATCGGTCTGTTAAAATCGCAAACTTTGAATCGAGCTTTTAGAACAATGGAGCTACAAAAATTGTAATGAATTGTAAGGCATTAGTTCAAGATCCGTTGAATAGCTTAGAGTTTTGTCTACCAAGCCATCAATAAATAAGCTGCCCCAACTTGCCCCCCGCTCTTTAAAACTACATATTCTTGGGCGCTCAGGCACGGTTGTGGTAAAAAACCTCGCGATTTTAAGCCTATGTCGAGCGCGTATCTGTGTTTTTGCTTTACAAAATATAAGATTTTTTTATTTCTGGGTTGCGTTCATGACGTTTACTCGATTCACTCGGATTTATCTCAAAACGTTTATTACAACAACGGTGTCTAGACTTTCACTTGCGTAAATCGTTCGTGACTACTAAGATATTTAACACCGATTTTACATATTTAACCCACCTCTTGTAGGTGCGTTAAAACAACTTCGCATGCGCATTGTAGTGTGTTAATGTCAAATTTTTTAGCGAATTAAGAAATCGTTGCTAAAATATTAAGTAAAAGAAATAATACAAATTTAAAATACTTAGTATGAAATCTGTTATATTTCTCGGGAGAAAACGATGGAAGATGTTTTCCATTGGCTTATGGCATCTTCCGATCCGTACATTTCTAGCTTCAAAAAAATTGCTCCGAAAAAGAGCAAATCTTTGTCCCGCGAAGCAATAAAACTGTTGCTATCTTCTGATGGTTTCCCATGCTCTGCTAATGATACAACGAGCGAATCCAGTGACGGAGATTGTTTAATATACAGTGGTTGCAATATCAAGTCCGACCGCACTGGAAAGGACGGCTGTTCAATACCCGCGTGAAAAGAACAAGGATAGAACGCCAAATAGAATTTGATTGGCCAGAGCCGGAAGGCTACGACAACGCAAACCCATCGCGCACCTCGCAGCGTGCTTGACACGAGGATATCAGAACGATAACTGCAGTGGTGCCAGCAAGAGGTAGTAATTTTAGTAAAAAAGATTATTTAATTAAAAAATGTACACGTTGGAACAAAAAGTTCAGATTTTAATCTGGCATATTGCTGGTAATTCTGAACGAGAAATTCAAAGATTTTTGTGGGGGTACCTCAAGTCGAAGCTGTACGTTTTCCAGGAAGATCGGGCTAATAACCTCAATGATTTAGGAATCCGCATAACTAATTTGTTGGGAGATATTAGTCCAAAAGTCCTAGCTAATGTGCGTGGGAATTTTTATAATAGGTTAGGCTATTGTTTGGCTGCCTATGGGGGCTTGTTCAAACATTTAATTTAATTTTTGAGTTTATTTATTTTTATTATTTATTTTTAGAGTTTTATTTTTATTTAGAGTTTTATTTTTATTTATAGTTATTTTTATTCAGAATTATTTTTTATTTGAGAAATCTTTTTTATTAAGAATACTATTTTTGTTGTTGCCCTAGTTCTCAAGGAAAAAATCAAAAAATTTTATTTTTAGGATTCGGGTATAAAATATTTAAAAAGAAAATTAAAATGTGCATCTACACTCTAACGCAGTTTGCTTAACACTAAATCATTTAGTCTAAATCCGGCCAGACTGGCAGCCAGAGTTGACCTCGCTTACAATTCGCACGCATCCGGCAGCCGGCTCTGGCCAATCAAACCTTGTTCTTTTCACGCGGGTATTGAACAGCCGTCCTTTCCAGCGCGGTCGGACTTGATATTGCAAGCACTGTATATGTAGGTATCATATAAATGTAATAATAATAAACTAAATTAAGCTATTTTATAAAAAGACGTAGAGATGGGAAAATTCCCATTTGACGAAAATTCCCGGAAACTTTCCATCGAAAATTCCCGAAATTTTCCGAAAGTTTCAAAAAAAAATTTTTTATTGCGAAAATATTTTTTTATGCCAGGGATTTGCAAAAATATATAACACATTAACTTTTTCTTAAATTTTATTAAGAAAAAAATTAAAAAAACGTTTATAAGAATGTAACTGCAATACTGTTTTTAGTATCTTTTACTTTGGAAAATTCCTATTGTATACTGAAACCTACAAAATAAAAATAAAATGTTTACTATTAGAAATTCACTGCTAGTAAATCCTGGATATTACGTAGAAAAATTAAAATGGACAAAGTAACTAATATATAGGAATATTGAAAAGTAAAAGATACTAAAAATAGTATTGCAGTTCTGACTGATAAAATTTTTGTTTTTTTGCACTATTTTGTAATAATTCCAAACACTAGATTTTTCTCTTGGCATTGTGCTATGCCTATAAATAAACAAGCTTCGTACAGACCTGAAGAATGATTTTAACTTTGTTTATTGTATTTATTTTGTTTACCTTTTTTTAAAAAAGTTTTTTGTGATGATGCTGAATAATCCGGCTTCATTGAGGTTATGTAACATAATTTACATTATTTATATTTCCTCTTCTGCTTTAAATTAACACACATTAAATTCTTATTCAAAGTTTCTTGGCCTTGTATCATGGCCTTAACGAAAATCAGCGATTAAACAATTGACATTTAAATGAAAAAAACAAGGAAAGTTTCCAAGGAATGTTTCCGGTAGCTTAAAAGAAACTTTCAAAATGAAAATAAATTCCCAATTGGAAACTTTCCAAAACGGAAAGTTTCGTTAAAATGGAAACTTTCCGATTCCCATCTCTAAAAAGACGTTTTATTACATTTTAAAAAGAACCTCTTACGGATTTTAAATTAATTTCGAAATGTCCGCCATTTGAGGTCTACCATTTTGAATTTTCGAATTCTGATTTCAGATTCGTTATCAGCGACCCCAAAAACCCTGTATGGTGATTTTTAATTTATTCCGTCAATTTTTTGACAAATATGTCCGCCATTTTGGATCTCCCATTTTGAATTTTGGAATTCCAGATTCGTTATCAGCGACCCCAAAAACCTTTATATACGGATTTTTAGGAGAATCCGACTACTCCTTGATATTTTGCCGAAAATTTCGAGAATTGAAACACTGTGCGGCGCCCAATATTTTAACAAAAAAAAGATTGTAAAAATTTAAAATTAACCATATTACTTTAATAAACAAAAAACTTACGTATTCCTGTTCTTGGGCATGGGGGCCCCCTTGGCCAGCCTCTCCGACCTGTAATTCTCGTAATGAACCTGCTGCGTGATCTCCTGCAGATCCTGCATGTGAGTGATCAGCATCGTCCGCAGCTTGATGAAATCGCAGTGCTCCGGGTTCTCCACCTCCACCACGCCCCACGGGTACAGCCGCCCCCTCACCTTCCTGCCCCTCACCTCGAGCAGCGTGTTGGCGCCGCACACCGCAAACGGCACGGCCTGCTTCAGCTGGCGCACCTGTAGTGTTGTAAAAAAAACACGTGAAAAAAACATGTTTTTTTTCACTGAAAAAGGGGGTTTTAAGGGTAAAAAATGGTTTATCTCGATTTCCGGCAAAACTACAAGTCCTATGGAAAAAAGTTAAATGGCAAAGTTGTAGGTAATAAAAGGATCTACAACTTTTGTAATTACAATTTTTTTACATAACCTTAAAATTTATGTGAAAAATTCAAAAAACCAAGTTTTTGGTTTTTTATTTTTATCTTTTTATTTTTTTCCACGAAATTTGGTAAAAACTTACCTTTTTATGTCCCAAATACACTGTAATTTATTTGATTTGAAATATTTATTATTTCGCCTTATTTTGACTTAATATCAAAAAAGCACCCTAATTTTCAATCGAAAATTCTCGCGTCAAAATATCAGCTTTTTTCAAAAAGTCGGTGTGCTTTTTGTTCGTTGAAATCTCTACTTTCTGATGGTGTAAAAAAAATATACATTACTATGGTAAATGTTCTCAGAAAATGCAAAAAATATTATAATGAATAACGAAAAAAACTCGAATTCGAAAATTTATTTGAATCATTATGTACAATTTCATCAAAAAAATGTTATTGTTGCAATTTTTTTAGTTAAAAAGTTTATTTATTAAATTCTAATAACATTTATGTCAGAAAATGTCATAAAATATAAAAATACATGTAAATCATACTATTGAATTTAGATACTTCATTCTGATTACGTTATTCATTATAATATTTTTTGTATTTTCTGAGAACATTTACTATAGTAATGTATATTTTTTACACCATCAGAAAGTAGAGAGTTCATCGAACAAAAAGCACACCGACTTTTTGAAAAAATCTGATATTTTGACGCGAGAATTTTCGTTTGAAAATTAGGGTGCTTTTTTGATATTAAGTCAAAATAAGGCGAAATAATAAATATTTCAAATCAAATAAATTACAGTGTATTTGGGACATAAAAAGGTAAGTTTTCACCAAATTTCGTGGAAAAAAAATTTTTCTTGAAAAGATAAAAATAAAAAACAAAAAACTTGGTTTTTTGAATTTTTCACATAAATTTTGAGGTTATGTGAAAAAATTGTAAATACAAAAGTTGTAATTTATTTTTCCTTTAATTTTTATTATATTCCCCTCCTTTTCCAATGGGTTTCATCCTACTGTTTTTTTTCTCTTTTTACCATTTTTAAAGGCTTCTGCACTGGTCTAGTATGGTAAAAGGGCGCCTCGCTGTCGGCAATGCTGACTCAGCATATCGTATAGTCTATACGGTATTATAATAGAAGAGTTAAGACCTGCGGCTTTATAGGTTGATGCATAGTTGGTGGAAATGCCGAAAAGAGAAGGCTCAGGGCGAAAGCCAACAACGTTAAACAATTTGTTTAAGAATATTACTAATGGTAAGTAAGAAACTATAATTAGTATTTAATATTCTTCTAGTGACAGAATGTGCCAAAAATTCTTTCCTCAGCAGTGACATTTCGAAAATCCTGTCACTTAATATAAAAACAAATTTGTTAACTAAAAAATGGATTAAAAATTCATTAGGTACCTATTGGACGCAATTTTTTAACATATGTAAACTTCAATCACTTGAACTAAAGTTCAACATGACAAATTCTAATTGTAAATCTATAGATGCTTACAAATCTGATGAGAAAGAAAGCTCAAGCTCGGACGATTCATCATTTAGTTTACATGACACATCGTCCGAGCTGGACTTTGAATCTCAATCAGATTAATTATTATATGTATATTATATGTTTATATATTTTTAAAGAATTTACTTAATTTTTATTTTATTTGTTTTAAAAAAGTTTGTTTACCTTTTTTTGTTATGTTTTTATTTCAATATATTTTTTTAAAATAATTTGAGTATTTTTGACCATTTTTTTGAAAAAAAACATTTTTTTTTTGAAAAAAAACAAGGACCTCTGTTTTTTTCTAAAAAAAACATTTTTTTTTTGAAAAAAAAACAAGTCTGTTTTTTTTCAGTGACAACACTACGCACCTGCTCCTTGTACTCCTCGTCCTCGTCCGAATCGCACTCCGGCAGGCTGTAGATGCGGATGCCGTGCTCTTTTATCTCGTCCATTACCTTCTTCTTCAACTTTTGCATCTCCTTTTTCGTCAGCACGTCCGCTTTGGCTATTACCGGCACGATGTTGACTTTGTTGTGCAGCTGTTTCATGAACTCGACGTCCAAGGGTTTCAAACCGTGTCCGAAAGGCGATATAAAGTAAAAGCAGCAGTGTATGCGGTTGTCCATTATGTTTTTTCGGTTCAAACCCGATTCGTCGCACAAAAATCTACGAAAAAAACCGCAAAATGTTGATTTGCTACAATTTGTTTGAATGCATACAAATCCGACCTAAAAATGCATACATGTCCGTCCCAAAATATCAAAAAATCTACTAGGGAATTTTTTTGGAAAATATACACATTTGAAAAAATTATAATGTTATAAATCAAAGTGTTAAATAAAAGTTATGTTAATACAGCACCGAATATGTTTTTATGCGGCCCGGTAGAATATTCTTACTGAATTAAAATAAAAGGAATAATTATTATAATCATAATATTATAATCGTAATCAGCGTCTCGATATCAGTGTACGGATATTATCCGTAAAAATTTGTAAATTTACTAAAAAATTGACTTTTGCATTTGTGCGTACTACCCTTTAAATAACATTTAAGAAATGAAAAATTAAATTTTTCTGAAATTTTCCCAATTTTTCCGGAAAAAACGGGTTTTTCCGCCGGGCTCATTTTCTCCGAAAATTTTATTAAAGTAGAAATTTCGTTTTAGTAAAATGCGAGTAAAATAAATTCAACAAGAACAAAAAATGACGGGATCTAATTGGCTGGCTAAAAAGTGCTATAACTTGCTTAGTTTTGTGACTCACAAATTGTGAGTTTAAAAAAAGAGAAAATCTTGGGATATCCGGTGGGGGGATTTAATTTTAATTATCACGAAATTATTCCCAAAATGACAATCGTTAAAATTAGGGTTTTAAAATTTTCGGAAAAATTGAGCCGGCGAAAAAAAAACGATTTTTCCCGGAAAAATTGGGAAAATTTTCAGAAACATCGACTTTTGATTTTTTTTCATTTTATTCAAAAGGTAATGAAAAAATGCAAAAGTCAATTTTTCTGAAAATTTTCAAATTTTTACGAATACTATCCGTACACTGATAACGAAAAAAAGTGAATTTCCGACGCTGATAATATTACATTACAATAAGTGCTAAGACAGACATATTAGTAAGCCATCCATCTGTCAAAATTTTTGAAAAAAATTAAATATCTTAAAAACCGTTAAAAATAAAAAAATTTAGTATTTCTAGAATTTTACGCAGAATTTAAAAATGCAATAATATTTATATGATTCCATTTTAAAGTTGATATCACTTGACCCGGCGAAAAAAACGATTTTTTCCGGAAAAATCGGGAAATTTTCAGAAACATCGACTTTTGGATTTTTTTATTTTATTCAAAAGGTAATAAAAAAATGCAGAAGTCAATTTTTCTGAAAATTTTCAAATTTTTACGAATACTATCCGTACACTGATAACGAAAAAAAGTGAATTTCCGACGCTGAATATAATCATAATATGAAAATTTTCAGAAAAATTGACTTTTGCATTTTTTTATTACCTTTTGAATAAAATAAAAAAATTATAATGATTATAATAATTATTCCTTTTATTTTAATTCAGTAAGAATATTCTACCGGGCCGCAAAAAAAAACAAATTCGGTGCTGTATTAACATACAAACATTATTTTCATTTGATACTTTGATTTATAAAATTATAATTTTGTAATTTAACTTGATAAATCAATCATTATTTTGTAATTGGATATTTTCAATGGAATCCTTAGATCAATTTAATTTAATTCAATTTTACGTTTTATTTTTTTTCTGTAAGGATATTTTTATAAATTAAAATAATCTTAAGTTGTTGACTGCTACTTTTTCAAATGTGTATATTTTCCAACAAAAAAATCCCAAAAGACATTTTTTGGTCTGGAAAAAAAACCGAAAGAAAAAACAGATTTTCCCTCTAATTTTTCAGTTTTTTTCCGACATGTCGTCACCATTTTTTTTTAATTGAGGTTAGTCTTGTTTTAAGTCTTAAAGATGCATATTGTTCTATATATATATAATTGGGGTAGAAATTGTACAATTTAAGCCTTAATACTATAATTCTCAGGTGACGATATACATTTTAATTAAATAAAAGAAATATTTTAAATCGTTGAGTTTGTATTTTGTAAATTAGGTATATTAAATAAGAAAAAGTGAATTAATTCAAAAAAACGTCCGACTTTCTTATAAAAATGATGACTTTTTTCAACCCTGATTTAGATTTATTATGCATTCCTTTTTCGTACAAAAATAAGTTTATTTACCTTTCAAACTGGTCGTCGATAAAATAAGAAAAAGTGAATTAATTCAAAAAAACGTCCGACTTTCTTACAAAAATTATGTTTTTTTTCAATCCTGATAAGGATTTTCTATGGCTGTACAAAAATGAGTTTATTTACCTTTCAAACTGGTCGTCGATAAAAGTGATTATTTCGGAGAAAGAGTCGGTGTTGTCTATAGCATCTCCATAGCCGGGGGTGTCTACTACAGTGAGGCGTAGTTTGACACCCCTTTCTTCAATTTCGACAGTCGAAGGCTCGAGTTTGACGGTTTGCTTCATTTTTTCTTAAAGAAAAAAAAAAGTTAAAATCATCAAAAGGGATAACGCTTTTCGCTTTTGACAGTTGCAGTGACCTTTCTTTATGCTGTGTTATTTAAAATCTTAAAATGTGTTGTAAAAACAAATTATTTTGTTTGGTGAAACGAATAAAATCCACTACAAAGAAAAAAATATTAAAAAAAGGTGTGGGAACCAAAAATAAAGCAACAGAAACAAATAAAAGAAACCATAAAAGGTATAATTTTCTAATTATTTAAAAAAAAAACTTTACTTTAAATGGTAGTCACCAAATATATCAAACCAAATATCCCTAGATAATAACGTTTCGTAATCCAGTGTTGCCGGAACAAGACAAAAATGACAGATTGATAATTTTGATTGGACACAGTTAACATTATATTTTATTATTGCAAAACTATGCGGTAAAAGTTAATAAAAAGTTATATGTAACATGGTACTATTACTATAAGTTTAATTTTATTTCATTGTTTTTTTCATGGATAACTTGACAGAATAAATTTTGTAGTTATTATTGTGCACTTTTCTACTTAAAATTTTTTAATAAAATTTAGTATAGGGTCGTTTTGAGGGGTGGTGAATCCAGTGCCGTGCTTAGATTTTGTTTAAAAAAATCGCTAATATGAATTCTTAAAAATTACTCTTAAAAACATGGGTCACACTGTATGTAAGTATGTATGTTTGATAAAGTTTTTCCTAAAAAAAATTGTTCTTTACTTTTTTCGTGAATAATCAAAAAAATAATATGTCGGCCGATGTACTAATGTATATTGGCCGATACCGATAATGCTCGATCACTACTTTTGATAGTATGACTATATTTGTAAAAAAAAATGTACGTCAAAAAGTAGTATTTATTGTCTTGTTTAACATACTAAAATTTCCAATTTCTAAATCCAATGGTTCAAAAAATAAAATATATTTTTACCCTTTAATGTAAACTGTAATAATTTTTAAAAAAATCTTATAAAAATTTACACAAACAAAAAAAATGATGCTTTATCTACTAGGGAATTAATAAACAAAACAAATAATTAAAAAGTAACTATTTCCTTAAACAAAGATAAGTAAGTAATTTAATCTTAATTATTTATTTGCACACAAGTCAAAAACCTCTACAATTGTAATAACTACAACAAACAAATAAACACAAAGTAGCAAAATGTGCTTATAAAGATAAAAAAGTGGATAAGCTATTGAATTACTAATACTACCACTTCAAAGTGCTCAAGTTTAGTGATAAAAAATTACAAATTCCACTAGATAGTCTCAAAAGGAAAAAACAGACAGGAAATGAATCATTAATACTTTACTATAAACAGTGCAGTAAAACAGAAGGCAATACATTTATATGCAGACATGTGCTTGAAATTGGGTTCAATACATTTAAATTTGACTGAAATACAGTAATTTAACATTTTGTATGCATATCATGAAAGGAAATGGAGCTTTGAATGCAAAAATGTCCACTTTGTAAAACACTACAGGGTGTCCTAAAATATTAAATTATAGTATTTTTAGTTCAGTTCTGGCAATAGATTTGGTCTTAAATAAATGCTATAATATAAATAACAAGATAAATTTGGATGTTTTTATGTTGTTTTAAATTTATAATAATACACCACTAGGTATATCAAGCAAAGAAATAGGTTAAAAAATAGTTAACTCACCAATGGCATCTGGTATTAATCTTTCTGGATATAAATCGGTCAAAAATAAGGCATTTACAAGTGTTGATTTTCCCAAGCCACTTTCCCCAACTACCATTAAGGTGAACTCGAAACCTTTTTTAACTGATTTTCTGTGAACTTGGTTTGGCAAATTAGCAAATCCCACATAACCAGCGGTCTCAAGCCCGGAAAACTGCAAATAAATTATGATAACATTAAAATATGCAAGTGCCAAAAAATATATTTATATCCTTTTTACCAAGTTTTTAGTGTTATTTTTAAAAATTCACATCTCATTTTTCTCTAGGTATGTTACTTAATACATAATATTAACGCATTTTTACATAAAAAACTTTTTTCTCCCGAAAATAAAATAAAAAATAACACCAAAAAATTCAACCAGATAAACACAATTCTACTTACATTTTTCACGCTGTCACTCGACATTCTAAAACCGCTCTCAAAACACAAAAAACCCACGAATTTCACTCAAAAATCGAAACTTTAAAAACCAACTGTCATTCACACCGAAACATATAAACAACTGCCATATTTTCATAATCAAAATCGCAACGCCTGATTGGCTGAAAGTAGGTGTGGCCTCTTTCAACGTGACGAAATAAAAAACACTAGAAGTTTATGTTTTGTTTTATTTTATGTGAATTAAGCATATTTTATGCGAGTTTATTGCTTATAAGGTCATTTTTATTGCATTGTGCAATGTTTACATTAGTTATTTATTGTTTTATGCGCAATATAATAATATTGTTTGTTTAAATGTAATACCAACATTAAATCATAAACTTCACGAATTATTCTACAAAAACATCCTTTTACGCTTAAAAATTTTCTAATAATGCATATTACTACTAATAAAATTATTAACTTATAAAAGACCCATAACTTCTCGAAATAATGTTGACATTTTTACATACGGTAGTTCCACAATACAACAATCATGCGGTAGTTCAAATATCCCGAATACTTTTCCAAGGTACCTAGTCGTTGTTAGGTGATCTTGAAATTTTGCGCCAAGGTGCATACCTGAATAGGTCGTTTGGTTTTTCATTGAAATGCGTTTATATAATTTTTGATTGATTTTTAATGAAATTTGTTTTTGTTTTATTATAATTATTTTTTTTAAATTTAATTTCATGATTTTAGAAGATTTTTAAAAGGTTCTGATATTTTATAAAATAAAATGTATTTTTTTACATAAAACTATGTCAAGAACCATAGATTAGATAAAGTAGAACTCCAAGAACTGTGTAAAAAATCTAAAAACATACTGAAATTACCTATAGGTTTTAGATTTTTTACACAGTTCTTGGAGTTCTACTTTATCTAATCTATGGTTTTTGACATAGTTTTATGTAAAAAAAATACATTTTATGAAGAGTAGTATATGTTTAATAAACTTGGCAACGTTGTGTTTCTGATAAGCTCGAATATTAAGTACACATAAAAAAACGATTGCCATGGAAACAATTCAAATAAGGCAGGTAAACAAATGAATTTTTTGACGGTTTGTGTAAAAAAATTAAAACATTTAATCATTATAACATCGTTATTCAAGTATATAAAATGTTAAATTTGTTAATTATATTGTCAAATTGAAAGTTTTTTTTAAACGATTCTCTAGATATACATAGTTTGTTCAATTAGAAAAAAATATTGAAATATCGAGAAAAAAACGAGAATTAGTAATTTTTTTTATTTCAAAAATGGTTATGATAGCCTTTTCTAACTCAGACATTTTTAAGAGGAATTGAAATCTGCCAAATTCTTTTTGTCATCACCCTGTAGGTATAGGTAAATAAATAATCTTAAGATTCCAACATTAAATTAAAAAAAAAATAATTTCAAAGAGAAAATATTTTATAGTTTCATATGGAAAAATAATTATAAATGACTCTAGCAGATGCCCGTATAAATGAATGTATTCATAAATTTAATTAATAATGTTCTATTTAATTTAACTTGAAGAATCTCATAACAAATTTTATCGTTTTTACCATTTTATGTTACAAAAATACATTTCACACATAAAACACCCCCATGATATTCTAACATTTTAAATGACCCCAATATTTCATCCCTCGTTGAAAAAACACTTGTTTAAGTTTATTTCCTTTTGAAAATATCCACCGAAAGTGTAATAAATCAAGTGACATCCTTTAGTCAAAGTAGGCGGCATCAACATCTGTTTTAACAATCTTAAAATCTGTATCATCTAGTCTGCCATGCGTTTGACACTTGTGCACAGTAGCAAAACAAGTGCCAAGCGGCAGTCTACCCTCATACCCAACGCGCACTGGATTAAACAGTTTAATTAATATTAATTGAATTTAATTCAATACCAGAGTGTTTATTGTATTACATACTCGCATAAAATTCTTTGCCAGCGGGTTCGCGATGGAGTTTTTACAATTTAACGGGGAGACTTACGGCAACAACAACAATATTAGTGCGGGGAAAAAACGGGGTGCCGCAAGGAGCAACTTTGTGACCGCCATGGATGATTTTAATGTGCCCGTGAAGCAACGTAGTCAGGCGAACGCAAGGGAGAGGGATAGAACGCATAGGTATTATTTTTTTTTAATATTTACTTTCTAGATCGATTGAGTTTTTAAAAATCTGACGATTTTTAAATTCAAATAATGGTTAAATTTTTTTTATAAATAAATAAGAGTTTTTTCAGTTTTTGGTGGATTTTTTAAAGTATATTTTAGAAAGTTTTCTATTCCCAGCAAACACATAAGTCTGATTACATAGTTTCATGGCTTAATAATGGCATTTTTTGCGCAAATACAATACAATTGTACTGGTCCTTTACAGGAATGTTTTAATAAAAATATTAATTTTGATAAAAGGCTGTCGTGATAAGGTCTTGCAATGGCCCTTCTCAGGCTAATTTTTCTACCTATAATTTACCATGAAAGACCCATATATGGCAATTTTCAGTACATAAAACCTTTAAATATTTTTTGGGTATCAGCATATTTTACAAATGACGCCCAGTGTTAGTTTTAATAGTGTTTTATAACACATAACAAAATAATAATAATACCTAATGGTTCTTAAATTTAAATGAGGAAGTGGTGCATTTTTAATTTTACAAATTTTAGAACTCTTATTACAAACAAAATAACGCCAAAGAATTAGTAGAAAGGTTTAATTAATAAGGTCAAAATTGACTCAATTTAATTGAGGCAATTAAAAGATATTAATAATGGCAAAGAAATCCTGGTTTTCTTTGTTTTAGAGGACAATCTACCTAAAAAATCAAGTGAACTTATTTGTAAATATATATTTTAATTTTAAATATTTTCTATTTAGTTTAAGGATTTTTTATTTATTTAAATATTATGGATTCCATTTATTATCTAATAAACGGTTTTTAAAATAAAATGTTTTACTAATACATTTCTTTATTACAACACATTGCTTTGTATTTTTTCTTGTAAATTTATGAATGTTTTACCAATAAATTTAACGATAATATATTAATTAATGTAATGGGTAAGTAAAGTATTTATTATGGTAGATTAAATGTGGTTTGTTTATATTTATTGGGTGGGATATTCCACGATAATCGAAAATTTTTATTCTGACCGTCAGAAATTGTATTGTAATAGTAGGGATAACAATTTATAATTAAAGGGCCATTATAGAACCTTTACGGTTGTGTTTGCTGGGTAAAATCAAAAGTTTCGTCATTTTTTCCGAACTATTTTTGATTTAAGCAAAGCAATTACTGTTTTAGTGTGAACACAGCTTTTTCTACATTAAGGACTTTGATACCGACTGAACCAAAGGATAGAAAATTGAGTAAAATTGAAACTTTGAGACTGGCTTCAAGCTATATATCGCATCTAGGGACACAACTTATGGCGGGTAAAATTAAAAAAAATATATTTTTTGACATTTTTGAACATTCTTTGAATTTTAGGACCTATAGATCAACCTTGCTTAAGAATACCAAAACCTCTACAATTAGATGAAGAAATAAATCAAAATAGGCAACAAGTTTGCACTTTTTGTATATCCCACAAAAAGCCAACGGTGAGACGTCTTGTACATTAAGTTTTGTTTTATTCATACATTTTTCTTTTTTACAGAAAACGTCTCCAAACGAAACATATGAATGTCCAGCCTTCAGCAGTCAAATTTTTTTAAACACTGAACTGTTACCCAATGATCTTCACAATATTTATTACCAATAGTATTTTTACTTAATTACCTACTTTAAAATAACGTGATATGTATTTATATTTTCTACCATTTAATTATTAATATTATGTTATCTTACTAAATGTACTTAATACATAATGAATGTAAATAATTATTTTCACTTTAAAACAATAAACCAATTTTGTTTTATTTCTTTTTCCCATTTAGTTAATTGGATGTACTAAACTGTTAACTATCTTAATTGTTTTATGTTCTTTTAATCATTTTATTTATCCCTTGGTGAAAATAGGTCAATGTTTTTTAATTTGTAGTAAATGTATCTCATTTGTTATTATTATGTTAATTTTTAATATAATATTCTTTCAAAAACTCTGAATTTAACTCTTAGAACCCTTCGTTTTCAGGACAAACAAAAAATAAGGTGTATTTTCAAGGTTTTTGAAAATTTACAGGATCTGGTCAATATTACACAATCCGGCAACGTTGCAATGCCCAAATGTTTGGGGAAAATCCCTGGATTTGGGATTTTTTGAACAACCTGGCAACGTTGCAACATACCAGGAGCTCTTTAACTTTCTGCACTTCTGATACATTTATGAATTTTTCAAAAACGCGAGAATAAAATAATAATAATAAATTAATTATTAATTATTAGAGACCCTAGGTTAGATACCTTGATTAAATACAAAGTTGCCCAGCTGATTTCACAAAAATCCCAGATTAGAAGAATTGTCCAAAACTTTGTTTAAACATTTTTTTTTAACTTAGAATCCTTCTTACCTTTATTATGATTGTTGGGCATTAAGTAAAACAATTTCGAAAATTTATAGTATTTTATTAGACAGATAGTATACATTTTGAAAATTTTTATTTTCTCTAAAAGCATGGAGAAAAAAACAATACACAACCACGAAAAGTATATGTAAAAGTTGGTCCAATAATATAAATTATTCATTAATAGTTAATTAATTAATAATTATACAAAAAAAATAATACATTTTTTGATGGTTTTTTGTATAATTATATTTTATTTAATATTAACACCTCCTTTTATTGAAATTTGTGTTAATAGAAAGTTTTTATACTAAATAAAGCATAATTATTTCCCTGTACTTTTTAGAATCTTTAAAAAAATCAGAAATTTTCTTTGGTAAAAACATTTATTTATTTAATTGTAATTTTCAAAAAAATATATGAACAAAAATGTACAAAAATTATAAATAACACATAAATATATCATTAAAGTACGCTAAATTTGCCTTTTCAAATCAATGTTTTATATTTCTGCACAATTTAAGTCAAAAATAATACAATTTCACCAGGTTTAAAAAAATATACATATTTTACAAGTTATGTGGAAAATTGTACAGAAATATAAAAACAAGGATTATTTACTGTATATGGGAAGACAAAATTTAAAACAACGTTACTTTAATTAAGCATTAAATTAATTACAAATTGACAATCCAAAAAACAACCTCATTCCCAAGGAAATTCTGTAAACCTTAAGGAGCCATACCGCTTTAGAGCGGTATAAACCCTTAAGTGTATACCTCAAAAATTAAGTCGAAATTCAGATCACCGCGTTAGAGTCTAGAAAATTTAATTAAAAATATAGATGCTATGTACAAAAATTCACCTTATGCGCGGTAAAATCTACAAATAAAAAATGCGCATCATTTATTCGAAAAATTATGCCTAAAAACATTGATAAAAAATTGTGTTACGTTTCCAGTGTTGCACTTTACACAGGGCGTCCACGAAAAATCAACTTGAATTTTACGTTGTGTGATTTTTGGACACCCTGTATATAAAAAACACTAACAATAACGAAAAATGCGTATATTATAAGTATTATTATTACTTAAAAGTTAGCGATATTTCTATATTTACTATTTTAAGTAATTCTGATAATTTTATAATCTATAAAAGAATATTTTATTTATTTATACTTTAATTATAATAATACAACGCTTTTCTGTATTGATATACTTTTTTCATTATCATTAAATATTATAAATAATTATTATTACATATTTTATTTTTATTTAATTATACAATGTTTTTGAGTTCAGACCTTTGAAGAACTGAAAAAAAAACAAATCAATAAGTACAAAATTGCTTATAATAAACTTTAGAGCATAAATTATATATGGGCCAATCCACCAAATAAAATTTGCTTTGGATTTTTTTTTAAATTTTAATTTATCGTTAATTTTTTGTATGTAAATAATATTTCATAAAAATACAAAGAGTACTGTTTTTTTTTGTAAAAACAACATCTTAGATTTTCAATGAAAATATTCAATTCTTTATTATAATTATAATTATTATAAAAATTCAATTTCGTTTTATAAACCTTTAAAATTCCATAGCGCATATTGGTAATCCCTTTAGTAAAAAAATAAGTCAAATCTTTTTTACTTACCGCTTTTTATTGCCTAGACCCTCTGGCGGCTTCTTCTAAAGCTCGAACTTTAAGTTCACGTTCTCTTTGTTGCCTAAAAATGGAAATAAACATTGTAAAAAAATGTCCAGCAAAATTGCCAGACTTGTATCCAACATACTAAAATTTCTACAGGCCTTTAAGAATGTTTTTGGGCCTTAAAAAGGAATTTTAATGCAAGAGAACATTTTTTTGAGATGCATTAAACGAATAAAAAAGAAAGACTACAGAAATTAATAGGTAAGAAAAATGCAAAAACTACTTTTAACAAAATTAACAGGTTAAAAATATTAATTGTGTATAATATAATTTTAAATCAAAATCATACACCTTTTATAGGAAAATAAGTGGCAAAATTATTATTTAATATTATGTTTATTAATAAGTTTTTTTAATTAACCTTAAATAATTGAAATAATCTTTCAAAATGGCTTTTTTCATAGTGAATTTTTCAGAATATATTTTTTCTTTATTACATCTTGTAGTTTACTTTATTTTGATTTTTTAAATTTTTATCCAAATTTCACCACATTTTTTCCCGTTATAATTTTTTAATATTATTATTATTATTATTAAAAATAAAATGGACTACATACTAGAATACTATATGGCAAGATGTTATCGGCGTCTAAAGTAGACATCCATTTTTCTGTGGAAGAGAAGTAAAAAAACAAATTTTACTTAAAATTTTTTAACATTGTTATATAAAAAAATAAATTAGTATTTTGTTTTTTCGGTTTCATAGTTAAAAGGAATGTTATTATTGTCACAAAAAATATTATTAGTGTAGGTAAACAACACAGGGTGTTCCAAAAACCGTTTTTGTAAAAAAAATATTTTTTGAGGCACCCTGTATACTAAAAACAAATGCAAAACAGTGAATCGTGTAAAAACCCATAAAATTAATAATCAACTATAATAAATATGAAAAGCCTAAATATTATTTGGTTATTATAATGATTTTGATTTTTTTGTTTTATATCATTAAAACTTGAATTGTTTAGTATTTTTAACCAATGAATATTAAATTAAAGCAGCAAGCACCAAAACCATAGAAAAGCATGTAACTATAAAAAACCATGCAAAAATTACAAACAACATATTCCTTAACAGTTTCAATTTTTTTATATTTAACCTTAGACTTACAGCTTAAATAAATAGTCTTAAAAACTGTTACTTAAATGGTTAAAGATAAAAAAAATTGAAACCCTAAAAATGTTTATAAATGAAAAAATATATTCAGAAAAGTTAGACTGACCTGAGGTATTCTTCATGTTGCGCGACTATAGAGGGATGTGAAAATCTGTCTCTCTCCAAAAGCATCTGTCTTTGTAATTGTTCATGTGCTGCAGCCTAATTAAAAAAAAAATATTTAAAAAAACAATATTTTACCCTGTACAGTAAATGTGACAACATAAGTAATTGACTTTATGCCTTTAATTTTTGTCATTGACTGTACCTTAAAAAGCTTACATTGGAATTTTAAAATAAATGTTTCAATACATAAAAAACTAAAGAATTTTAAATTGTCGGTTTTGTTAATCAGCAATCAAGTTTGTGACATTTTAGCTTATATTCAGTTTAACAAGTCATTTTAGCTTTTTGGTATTTCAGCTTGTCTTCATTTAAGCATGTTGTTATGTTAGGCAGTCTATATTTTAAATTATCGACATTTAAGCTTGTCGGCATTTTAGCCTGTCATTATTTAAGCTTGTCTTCATTTTACCTTATCGTCATTTAAGCTTGTCGTTATTTTCACTTGTCATTTTAACAAGTCATTATTTTAGCTTATCGTTATTTTAGCGTGTCCTTTTAACAATACATTATTTTATCTTGATGCTATTTAAAAAGCTATTATTATAATAATAGCATGGGACAATTTTACCTTGGATATAAATTTAATTAGTTTGTCGCCGGTCATTTTAACAAGTTATCTTGTCTTTATTTTCGCTTATCGTCATATAAGCTTGTCTTAATATTAGATTATCGTTATTTCAGTCATTTTAACAACCCATTATTTTATCTTAACGCCATTTAAGCTTGTCTTTATTTAAACTTATCGTTATTTAAGCTTGTCATTTTAACAAGTCATTATTTTAGCTTTTTTTCATATCAGATTATCGTCATTTAAGCTTGTCCTTATTTCAGCTTATTGTCATTTAAACAAGTCATTGTTTTAGCTTGTCTTCATATCAGCTTATCGTCATTTTAACTTCTCTTTATTTTAATTTAATTAGTTTGTCGTTTGTCATTTTAACAAGTCATTATTTAATATTGTCTTTATTTTAACTTATCGTCATTTAAGCTTGTCGTTATTTTCGCTTGCCATTTTAACAAGTAATTATTTTAGCTTGTTTTCATATCAGCTTATCGTCCTTTAAGCTTGTTTTAATATTAGCTTATCGTTATTTCAGCTTCTCCTTTTAACAAGCTATTATTTTAGCTTGTAGTCATTTTACCTTGTCTTTAATTAGCTTGCCAACATTTTTACAAGTCATTATTTTAGCTTGTCTTCATTTTAACTTATCGTCGTTTAAGCTTTTCGTTATTTTCGCTTGTTATTTTAACAAGTCATTATATTAGCTTATCATCCTTTAAGCTTGTTCTTTTAACAAGATATTATTTTACCTTATAGTAATTTTACCTCGTCTTTATTTCAATTTAATTAGTTTGTCATTTGTGACCGGTCATTTTAAAAATTCATAATTTTTTTCTTGTCTTAATTTTAACTTATCGTCATTTAAGCTTGTCGTTATTTTCGCTAGTCATTTAACAAGTCATTATTTTAGCTTGTCTTCATATCAGCTTATCGTCATTTAAGCTTGTTTTAATATTAGCTTATCGTTATTTCAGCTTCTCCTTTTAACAAGCTATTATTTTAGCTTGTAGTCATTTTACCTTGTCCTTATATTAATTTAATTAGTTTGCCGGTCATTTTTACAAGTCAATATTTTAGCTTTTCTTCATTTTAACTTATCGTCGTTTATGCTTTTCGTTATTTTCGCTTGCCATTTTAACAAGTAATTGTTTTAGCTTGTGATTTTAATAACCCATTATTTAAAAAAACTATTATAATAATAGCATGTGATCATTTTAACTTGTCTTTACTTTAATTTAATTAGTTTGTCGTTTGTCATTTTAACAAGTCATTATTTTAGCTTGTCTTCATTTTAACTTATCGTTATTTTCGCTTGTTATTTTAACAAGTCATTATATTAGCTTATCATCCTTTAAGCTTGTTTTCATATTAGCTTATCGTTATTTTAGCTTGTTCTTTTAACAAGCTATTATTTTAGCTTATAGTAATTTTACTTCGTCTTTATTTCAATTTAATTAATTTGTCGTTTGTGACCGGTCATTTTAAAAAGTCATAATTTTTTTCTTGTCTTAATTTTAACTTATCGTCATTTAAGCTTGTCGTTATTTTCGCTAGTCATTTAACAAGTCATTATTTTAGCTTGTCTTCATATCAGCTTATCGTCATTTAAGCTTGTTTTAATAGTAGCTTGTCATTTTAACAACCCATTATTTTAACTTATCGTCATTTAAGCTTGTCGTTATTTTCGCTTGCCATTTTAACACGTAATTATTTTAGCTTATCGTCGTTTAAGCTTGTTTTAATATTAGCTCAACATTATTTCAGCTTCTCCTTTTAACAACTATTATTTTAGCTTGTAGTCATTTTATCTTGTCTTCATATTAATTTAATTAGTTTGCCGGTCATTTTTACAAGTCATTATTTTAGCTTGTCTTCATTTTAACTTATCGTCGTTTAAGCTTTTCGTTATTTTCGCTTGTCATTTTAACAAGTCATTATATTAGCTTATCGTTATTTTAGCTTGTTCTTTAAACAAGCTATTATTTTATCTTATAGTTATTTTACCTCATCTTTATTTCAATTTAATTACTTTGTCGTTTGTGACCGGTCATTTTAAAAAGTCATAATTTTTTTCTTGTCTTAATTTTAACTTATCGTCATTTAAGCTTGTCGTTATTTTCGCTAGTCATTTAACAAGTCATTATTTTAGCTTGTCTTCATATCAGCTTATCGTCATTTAGGCATGTCTTAATAGTAGCTTGTCATTTTAAAAACCCATTATTTCATCTTAACGCCATTTAAGCTTGTCTTTTTTTAACTTACTGCCATTTTAAAAAACTATTATTATAATACCCACATAACATGCTATGGATATGGATATTTTATGGATATACTTGATATATTCATTTATGTATATACATAAAATGTCCATAAATGGATGTAATTGATACATTCTTTCTTGTATATCCATAAAATGTCCATAAATGGATGTACTTGATACATTTTTTCATGTATATCCATTTATGGATATTTTATGGACATACTTTGTAACTTTTATATAATAAAAAATTAAATTTGAATTTTATATTATAAGCTTAGAATATACACTGGAATCAGTGTATCCTTTGAAAAATCGTTTTTGCTCCACTTGTTTGAAAAATTCCCTCTTGTATAGAAAAATAATAAAATTAATTAAAAAAATAAATAACTTTTAAACAAAAAACTAAGTACAAGACAAACCTATAAAAAATGAAACTATGTAATATAAATCTAAATTTTTATTATTGCTGTTTAATTTTTGTGTAAAATTTATTTAAATTTTTGGGTATTTGAATTAGTTTTAAAAAAATCCCGTTTTGAGCTACTTTTTCCAACGATTTTGTGTTGAAAATTCCCGCTACGCGTCTGCACTATTTACTCACAGTATTTATAAGAGAACAAACTTAAACTTAACCTAACAAATATGACAGGTAGTTTAAATTTTAAAAATAATGCACAAACACCATGTGACATGCGCATTGACTTGACGTTTAATTATCGAAAATGCAGAAAATCTTGTTTAAGTTTTTAAGTTTTGAGTATGTTTTTGATTTATGACTGGTTTGGTAGTGGTAAGGCGCCTTCTTGCTAAATTTAAAAATCCGCTATGGGTAAGAATTTATTTTTATTTCTTTTTCTATTTTGTTTATTTAAAAAAAATATTTTTTTTGTTTGTTTATTTTTAAAAAATATTTTTTTTTTGTTTTTCAAGATTTTTATTACATACCCTAATATAATAACAATATGTTATGGATATCCATTTTCGGGTTTTTTAATATACATAATATATACCATGGATATATTATGGACATTCAGGAATATACATCATGGATATACTATGGATGTCCATATTACGAGTTTTTTAATGTACTTGATATATGTCATGGATATATTATGGACATCCAGGAATATACATAAGATATACGTCATGGATATACTATGGATATCCAAATAGAGGACAAAATCATATTTTATGGATATCCATGGTATATCCATACGATATTCGCGAATATACGAATATGCATAGATGTATATCCTATGTATATTTTCTTGTTATGTGGGTAATAGCATGTGGTCATTTTAACTTGCCTTTACTTTAATTTAATTAGTTTGTCATTTGTTATTTTAACAAGTCATTATTTAATATTGTCTTTATTTTAACTTATCATCATTTAAGCTTATCCTTTTAAAAAGCTATTATTTTAGCCTGTAGTCATTTTACCTTGTCTTTATATTAATTTAATTAGTTTGCCGGTTATTTTAACAAGTCATTATATTAGCTTGTTTTCATATCAGCTTATCTTCATTTAAGCTTGCTTTAATATTAGCTTATCGATATTTCAGTTTGTCCTTTTAACAATCCATTATTTTAACTTGTCGCCATTTAAGCTTGTCTATTTGTCTTATTGTTTAACAAGCTACTATTTGAGCTTTTAGTCATTTTACCTTGTATTAAATACAAGGTAAAATTTTATTTTAATTTAATTAATTTGTAGTTTCTCGATGGTCATTTAACAAATTATTTTATCTTGTCTTTATTTTAACTTATCGTCATTTAAGCTTGTCGTTATTTCTGCTTGTAATGTAAATGTCATTATTGTAGCTTGTATTTATTTTTTGTTTTAAAATTAGTTTATCGTTATTTCAGCTTGTAAGTCATTATTTTTATTTTGTCGTCATTTAAGCTTGTGAAATTATAGCCTGTCTTTATTTCAGCTTACTGTCATTTAAACAAGTCATTATTTTAGCTTGTCATTTTAGCTTCTCTTCATTTTAACTTATCGCCATTTAAGTTTTTTGTTATTTTAACTTGTCATTTTAAGAAGTCATTATTTTAGTTTGCCGTTATTTAAGCTTGTCCTCATTTTCCTAAATTGTCGGTGAGTATTTTTTACTTACTTGATGCGCCAATTGGTCAGCGTAGGGCCTACCCAAAAGGTCAGGATGATGGAGCCCCATGGGTCCGTCCCTGCTTGGCATCATGCCCGGTCTAGGATACCCAGGACCTCCGGACGCTAAAAGAAAAACACAACAAATTGTATACCTTGCAGTTTTCAACTTGCGCGGTTATTTTTATTGCATTTTGGTTAAAAAAAAAGCATTTACCTGGCAGCGGGAATCCAGCTGCGGCAGCTGCAGCTTCCTGCTGCGCTTGCGCCTGCTGCTGTGGATGCAGGTGTAGGTGTGTGTGCGCATGCGTATGCGCGTGAGTGTGCGCGTGGTATTCCGGCGAAATGCCCGCCATCTGCAGTCGAACCTAAAAAAAAAACACGTTTTGTTTGAATTGGAGAAAAAACTACGAAAATGAGATTATGAGAGATTATAAAAAGAGAAAAATATGGAAATTAAAACACATTTTAGGACTTTTTAATAGAGATGGGAATCGTAAAATTTCCATTTTGGTAAGTTTTTAGTCAGGAATTATTTTCATTTTTAAAGTTTCTTTTTAAGTTAAATGTCAATTGTTTAACAGCTGATTTGCGAAGTTAAGGCCAAGAAACTAAATAAGAAGTAAATGTGTGTTAATTTAAAGAAGTTTGTTGAAGATCATAACAATTTATAAAATAATTGCAAAAAACCTTTGCATAAAAGCCTTTTAAAAGATTAATAAAATAAAAACAAAGTTAAAATCATTCTAACGTTTTTGTCGTTCAACACAATTTTCCTCCCATGAAAATTTTTAAGATTTTAAAAATATAGGTTATAAAACGTACCCGTGTTCACCGTTTTACGAAATCAAGTCATTTAAATTTTTTACACAGCCATTCTTATTATTGACAAGTTTGATACAAATTTGGATTTTCACAACTATAATACAAGACATCAAGATAATATTAGACTTAGATATACACGATTGCAAGCGAGTAGAAATGCTAATAATTATTATGGGCCAATATTTTTTAATAAAATAGACAGCTCATTGAAACCTTTACCTTTAAAAAAATTTAAACTAAAAATTAAAGAAAAACTAATTTCTAAAGCTTTCTATTCGTTTGAAGAGTTTTTAGAATGTGGATTGTAGTTTTTATGTTAGATATAGTTTTTGTGTTGAATGTTTGTTCATATTTTGTATTTGTTTACCTATTGTTTTATGTATTTCAAAACTTGACTTGTGTAAAAAAACTTTGTTTTTATCACCAATAAAAATTATTATTATTATTATTATTATTAACCTAAACTGATTTTTAATTCTCTATTCTATTTTGTTATAAATAATTTTTTTTCTTCAAATATTTTGTTTTTACCTAATACAAAAATGATAGAAATTAAAGAAATGAAATAAAGAAATAGAAATGAAAGTAAATAACAAATTTTTATTTTTTTTTTAGTAAAAAAAAATATATATTTCTGCCTTTAATTTGTGATTTTTTTAAAATAAAAAACAGATTTCTATTTATCATATTATATATATACATTGCTTTTGAATCTATAGTGGTATCAAAACCTAAAAAACACCACTTGATATACAGGGTGTTTCACATTCGTGGTCCATTGGAAGTTTCTGGGAAACGGAAAAAAATATCGATTTGAAATTTAAAAGCGTTTATAATCCATTTAAGTCTATTTTTTTAAAAATATTTTGAAGAAAATGTCAATTCCGGTTTGACCAAAACTTTGTTATTTCAAATAGAACACCCTATATATTTTTACATTTTTAAATTCTACATAAAATTCTGAGTAAAATAACTTTACCATTTCCTATACCTAAAGTAAATAGTTTTCTAGTTCCCTATATTTAAGTTAATAATTTCAGAGATATTTAATAATTAGATCAATCAAAATGTTTTTAATTTTCTATTTAATTATGTAAAAATATACAGGGTGTTTCATTTAAAATAAAAAAGTTATTAACGTTTCAAGTTAGCCTAATTTGCCCTGGGTTTTCTTGGGTACCTAATTTGTTAAAAAATGAAGAATTGACATGGAATCTTTTAAACAATGTTTTAGGATTTCAAAAAGTACACCCCCATTTCGGCAAACCTAACAGCAAAATAGTTATAGGCTATTTTGTCAAATTTTGACGAAAAAAATGAATAACTCGAAAACTATTTACTTTAGAATTTAAAATAACAAAGATGATGTCACTTCCGGTCAAACAGGAAGTGGCATTTTGCTTAAAATATTTTAGAAAACAGGCTTAATTGAATAATAAACGCTTTAAAAATTTCAAATCGATATCTTTTGCCAAACCTCAGAAACGTAAAACACCCGTATTTCGTAAATGTGCACACCCTGTATATAATTAAAATAATTTTAATGGTTGTCCATTTATTCAGTGAATAAATTTTTCATAAAAATATACTGTATAGCTGTTATCGAATCTCTCATATTAAGTGCCAAATACCATTTTATTCAATCGCACTTAATCAAATTTTGTCGTACTGTGTAATTGTAGCAACTCAAGAGCCTATTTTTGCTGTAGTTTTTTTTCATATTTTATTGGTCAGTAATGCAATACTATATTTAGTTATTTTTAATTTTAAATATTTCTATTTAGGTAGGCAATATTATTTATTTTTTTAATCCACTGACACAAAAAACTCATTTCCACAATACATTTTTTTTTCAACTTTCGGAAATTTTCGATGGAAAGTTCCCGGGAATTTTCGTCAAATGGGAATTTTTCCATCTCTACTTTTTACTCACCATGGGGTCCGTCGCAAGGGCCAGTCGCTGCTCGGCTTCTAATTGGGCGGCGTGAGGGTGGTGGGGGTGGCCCGGGGGCGGTCCCCCAGGGCCACCCGGGGGCGGCGGTATTCCCAACCTCTCCAAACGTTCGCGTTCCATTTGGGAGAGTTGGGCGCTACCGCCGGCTCCCGGGTACAAGGCAAAGTGTAAAGGTATACCACCGGGACCTAGAAAACAAACAAAAAAATACGATGAATATAATTTTAAGAAAAAATAATTATTTTCGTATAGAAAGAAAATAACATTTACATCTTAATTTTTTTCCATTTTATTTTATTTACTATCAAAAAAAGTTATTTGTGTTCAATAAATTTGTTCAATAATTATAATAGATTAAATAAAACAATGAATTTGTTATTGTATTGAATTTTTAATTTTTCTTTTTTTTTATAATTTTAAAGTCGATAACTCTGATAAAAGATTATATCGGCTCAGTCGGTATATTACCGTTCGGATTACACAGTGACTAGAGGCACGCTAACGTGCCGCGATTCGAAATGTTAAAGGCAACTTTAAGTTTGAATACCTTCAGAACGGCTCACTCTATAAAAAAATATATTGAAACTTTTTTGTAGAGTGTTAAATTTCCTACCAAAATAATTTTTCAGTTCGTTTTTACAATGCTCAAATGTCAAGCTACAAAAATAAGAAAAAAGAAAAAAAAATTTTCCATGTTATTTAAATGGAAAATGGAAAGTTAAGAACAGGCACCACTTAATGTTAATATTAAGAGGTCAAATTTTTAGTTGTTACTTTTTTCACCTTCCTGAAAGTTTTTAGCTTGTTTTTTAGTTGAAAAAAAAAGTTGTTAAAAATGACACACCCTAATGTTCACTAAACTTCTCTTACCTCCGGGGCCGGCCAGACTGGCGGCGGCGTACCGCCGCTGCATTTCTATCCAGTGAGGGTCCATGGGATTCCCGGGGCCCCTGATGCCGCTCTTCATTATCTCCTCCTTCAATCTGTCGTTCAATTCGCGCTCTCGCAGCTCACGAATTTCTCGTTCCCGTTTCTCGCGCTCCAAATGCTCGAGTTCCAGACGTTCCCTAGCGCCGGGACCGTACATGTTGAGTTGGTATTGCAACATCGGGTCCATGACATGGCCGGGCGGTATAAGAGACCGTTGCATGTGTTGACCTGGAAAATTTTTGAGTACGAACTTTTAAAAAAATCGCTGAATGAAAAAAACTTTGATTCAAATTAGGGCTTTGAAATTTCCGGAAAAATTGAGCCGGCAAAAAAAAACGAAAAAATTGGGAATTTTCAGAAAAATTGACTTTTGCATTTTTTTAATATGAACAAAATGCAAAAGTCAATTTATGATTATAAGAATTATTCCTTTTATTCAGTAAGAATATTTGACCGGGCTGCAAAAAAACATATTCGGTTCTGTATTAATTTACAAACTTTTGTTTTATAAAATTATAGTTTTGTAGTTTAACTTTATAAATCATTCATTATTTTGTAACTGGATAGTTTAAATGGACTCCTTTTTGCAAACTGACAGTACTACTTTTATTTTCTTAAATCAATTTAATTTAATATTTTTTTTTCTGTACTAAAGGATTTTTTTTTTAAATTAAAATAATGTTAAGTTGTTGATTGCTACTTTTAATTTTAATATTTTATTCTTCAAAATTATTGGTTTGAATTTGTAAATTTTCAATACAAAAATTTGAACATTACAATTAAATGTTAGTTTTAAATTTTAAAGTGGTAATTTTTGCACTAAAAATTTATCGACTATCATTTGAATGACTCTTTACAAATTTAAACCAATAACTTTTATTTTTAACAATTTTAAATTGATACCTACATTTTTAAGACAAAATTTATAACTTTACATTTAGTAGTAGAAGGCACGATGCAGCCAGTTTGATCCGCAGTGTTGCCAAATCGTGCTTGCTCCATAAATATTTGACGCGTTCTTTATTAGATAAATTTAATAATAAAACAACATTTTTAGTGCCTATTGTACTAAGTTCATTTGACAATTAAAAAACATTTTTTCTAATTTTTCTGAGAATTTTTTTTTCAATTTTTCAATATTACGTGGATGCATCATACAAATTCCCGCTTTCCGGCTTTTGTGGTGAGGTTAAGTGTTAAGCCTGATTTATAGATTGTCTTCCTTCCTTCCTCCCTCCTCTGTATGGGCAATACGTATGAGCAATACGAAAACCGTAGTGCCGTATATAGATTCCCGTACGGGATTGTATTGTTCATCTTATACGGGAGGAAGGAGGGAAGGCAATCTAAAAATCAGGCTTAACACTTAACCTCACCTCGAAATCCGGAAAGCAGGAATTTGTATGATGCATCCACGTAATAGTGTGGCACTACATTAAAAAAAAATTCTCTTAAAAATTGGAAAAAATGTTTTTTAATTGTAAAATTAACTTAGTACAATAGGCACTAAAAATGTTGTTCTATTATTAAATTTATTTAATAAAGATACATTTCAATACGATAATTTCTAAAACGCGTCAAATATTTATGGAGCAAGCACGATTTAGACTCTTGTGCCTTGTACTAAAGCTACGTTTACACTTTGTAATTTTAAAATTATCGACTTACATTTAAATGTAGAGTTATAAATTTTGTCTTAAACATGTATCAATTTAAAATTGTTTAAATAAAAAAATTGATTTGATTTTGTAAAGAGTCGTTTAAATGTAATGTGATAATTTTTCTATTAAAAATCATCATCTATCATTTAAATGAATTTTGTAGAATAAAATATTATAACTAAAACTTTTAAAAATCAATATTTTTAAACTTAATTGTTTTGAGTTAAAAAAAAATTAAATTTATAAATTTCTGTTAAAAACATAATTAAATTGCTAAACTTTAATCTTTAAACTTTTATCTAATAAATGCTAAAACGGCGTCCCATGCATTTACGTGATAGATGTATGTAATATGATTATTTGACTTACCAGGACTAAAACCAGCGTGAGGCCTCGCGTACTCGGACAACTGTCTCAGAGCAGGCGTGTCCGCAAAACCGGCCCTGGGAAACCGGTCGTAGGGTCCTCCCACGGCCTCCATCCCCCTGGAGGGGGGTTTGGTCCCCGGCTCGGGCTTCTCCGGCGTCGCGATCTTCCTTTGTTGCTGCTGCTGCTGCTGTTGTTGCGCCTGCTGCGCCCTCTCGCGTTCCTCGCGCTCCCGCTCCGCCTGCTTGCGCAGCCGCTCTTCGCGTTTCCGCGCCAGCTTCGAGTCGGGCACCGGTTTGAAGGTTAGGTCGGTTCTCGTGCACGAGTTGTAGTCGCCTCGGTTCCAGTGACGAAGGAATCTGTTCAAATAATATGACGATAATGTTAATTTTCCCCCGTTTAGGTTGCAAAATTTATAAAAATAAGTTTTTTCTTGGTTTTAGTGAGAAAATTCTTAAATTAGGTACTTTACGAAAATAAGTACTGGAAAGCAACTTTTAGGTGGTAAAATTATTTAATTTATTATTGTATTAAACTTTATTAAACAAGATTTTTGTGATTTGAAAAATATACCTGACGAATATATCTTAAAATATTAAATATATATATTTATACGAGGTGTGTTCAGAAAATAACGGGAATTGTTAAATTTCGCGGGTTCGGAGGGTCCGGTTGTCATAAAATTTTCTGTATTATGTTGGTATACATGCCCCCGAAGTATGATAAAAACTTTAGCTGTTTTCATTGCTTACTTTGTCTGTGGCAGCCGCTAAGGTTAGACGTGTTTTATGAGCTCGGCGATTTTTCGTTCGTTAAAAGAAATGGATCAAAGAATTTGTAGTACAAATTTTGTACCTATCCAATTTTGCTTAAAAAATTAAATAAATTCTGTGAAATGTTAACAAAGGCCTATAGTGAGTCTGCTATAAGTAAAACAAGAGTTTATAAGTGGTATAAGAGTTTCCAAGATGGCCGTGAAGACGCTGAAGATGACGAACGCCCCGAACGCACAAGCACATGCACAACCGATAAAAACATGGAAAAAGTGGAAAAAATTGTTATAAACTATCAGAGAAGTCGCTGATGATCTTGGTATATCGATTGGCTCATCCCATGAAATTTTTTTGAATGTTTTAGGTATGAAACGCGTGCCAGCAAAATTTGTTCTAAAATTGTTAAATTTGGAACAAAATTTTTGGCCAAAAACAATACTGTAATGATGCCCCAGCCTCCATATTCGCCAGACATGCCTCTGTCTGACTTTTTCCTATTCCCAAAAATAAAGAGAACCTTAAAGGGCCGTCGTTTTTCAAGCATAGACGACATTAAAAGCGCATCGCTGAAAGAACTAAAGGCTATCCCAAAAATCGAGTTTTAGAAGTGTTTCGAGTATTGGAAGAAGAGCTGGCACATGTGCATAATTGCCAATGGGGACTATTTTGAAGGCAACAACATTAATGTAGACGAATAAATAAATATTTGTTTCAAAAAACGAAAATTCCCGGAACACACCTCGTATATATATTAAATATATGGGGCAGTCCACCCTAAATCGGTCAAGAGTAAGACTTAATGGTTCCGATTTTCTTAAATTTTAGTAAAATCATAGAACATTAATAAATATTATTACTTTTTCTTTCTTAGTTAAAATAAAAACCTATGTTTTCTTAAATTTTTTTAACGAGACCTAAAAGATTACCTAAAAAAATACCTAATTAAACTAAAACATTGTTATTGTAATGGTAAGTTTTTTAAATACTTCAGTCGGTTAAAAAAAATTTATTTGCACATAGTTATTGCTAGACCATCGACAATATTTTAATTTGATTGTTTAGATTTTTTTAATAAATTAGAAAAAAAACTAATTTGTAGTTTTAATAAAATATAGTTTGAAAATATTAATGCGATGCTTCAAAATCGCGCCCTATTTTCGCTCCAGGAAGCGACAAAATTTTGTCGCGTCGCTATGTGGGAATTGTCTCATTTAAATGCATGGAAATCTTTCATCAGCTACATTTTAAAGTGTCGCGTCGCGTAGCGTAGCGTAGCGTCGCTATGTGAGAATCGGCCTTTAGACGCATTTCTTTACAAAAAAAAATCATAACTTCCACAGTTTTTGAGCCCCCCCCCAAAATAAGTACTCAAAATTTGCGGGAAACTTAGGGCTATCATGGCGTTTTTTGGGAACTTAAATTTTAATAAAAAAAATTTTTTTGAGAATTTGTGAACAATTTTTTTTTTATTTTATCTTAAAGATTGTCAAAAAATTTGTTGTTGTATATGATTTTTTTTCGAAATTTTTTGTCTTTCGGGTTTTTAAATAATCGAAAAATAAGAGAAGTGACATTTATTTTGTTTATTTTGTAAAACCCACATAAAAGAGGTTAAAATTTTAGATTTCTCCATTTTTTTAGTTCCTCTATCGACCCTGAAAATTTGAAGCAAATTGGAAACATGAAGTCTTTGTCTTGGCCGATTTGGCGTGGACTATTTTTTGTTTTATTGTTGTTTTAAATTTCTATTGCGTTTTTTATTTGTTAAAACTAAGCATAAGAATATTTATACCATATTACTATTAGTTTAATTTATTTCAATGTTTTTTCATGGATAGCTTGATAGAATAAATTTTTGTAAATAGTAATTATTGTGCATTTTTAATTTAGCTACAAAAACATTCCTACTTAAAACTTTTCAATAAAATTTAATTTAGGGTAGATTTGAGGCATAGTGAAATGAATTTTTATTTTTAAGGAAAATTTATAGTAAAAATCGTTTTTTTCAACGGTATGTTTGTTTTTAATGATTGATCTTTATAATAGAAGTAGTTCCACATAGATTTTTGACATCATGTTCCAACCCCATTGCTGAGAATTAAAAAAATGGCATTTATGATAGACATGTTTTAAAAAATACTAGAATGCTAGAATTTGTGAAAATGCATGAGATTTTTTAAATTAAACATGATAACATAAAATTGATTGGAAAAACTTTAGATCTTGTGCAAAAGCATGAGACACGGCAACATTGCACAGAAATGTCACATTCGAGTTTTCGCGATTTCCAGTACCAACCACTATCAAGTAAAATTTTAAAATTTGGTTGATTCCTGTTAAAAATAAGAATTATAATAAAAAATCTACTTACATTGCGGACTGACTTCTGTGACACTCATTGTCCTCTATCCTGGGTTCGGGAGAAGGCCCTCTGGGCGGTCCCGGAGGGCTGACTTGTCCCTCCTCTTCCGGGACGGGCTCCGGGTCGGGCTCGATCTTCACGATCTCGTCGCTAGGTGGCAGTTTGACGGGCTGAAGTTGCAGCGGTTGCGACGATGACGTCATGGGCGATGTGGGTGGCGGGTGCATGCTTCTCTCCTGCTGTTGTTGCTGCTGCTGCTGGGCTTGCTGGTGAGCTTGCTGTTGCGCTTGGGCTTGTTGTTGCTGGGCTTGTTGCGCTTGCGCAGCCTGCTGCTGCTGGGCCGCGTGTGCGTGGGCTCTTAGGGCTTCGAGTGAGCTGCCCATTGGAGGTCCTAGAAATAAAAAAATAATAAAACTAGTGTTAATAAAATATTAAAAAGGTAGTAAAATTTGTATAGGATATAATATTATATGTTATCCAAATAATTAAATAAGAAAATCATCTTAATAGTTAAAATATTTCAAATATTTAAAAAATAAGTAAAAAGAAAAATATAAACACATAAATTGACTGGATAGTTAAATAGAATTTTTAAAATCCCAGGGCTCCCTCGGTTAAATTACAAATTTTATTTAGAAATTTAGGACGTTTTTTGGAGAATTTTAGGAGAAAAAAGTATGCAAATGAATTTATTCAATTAAATAAAAACAACTCTACACTATACTTAAAAAATAAGAAAAAAATTCTTTTTAACAAAAATAAAATGAAAAGTGAGGTAAAATTACTACTTTTGTATATACATATCTACAAGTAGAAATTTCACCACACTTTTAATTTTATTTAAGAAAAAAGCGTCGATAGATATGGCTAAAAAAGTAGGCCAAAGTTTAATGATGTTATATTTATATTTTAAAAAAAAAAATTTAACAGTTGTTATTGTTACAACATTCTTTAGATTGGTTACTATTTTAGCTATCATTTAAAAGAAAATTAAAAATCCTTTTGTTTGATATATAACACGGTATATTTTTGTCGAAAATTAACGAAATATGGCTAAAAATGACAATTTTGTAGAAGTCTAGAAGCCACTACATGGATTTTGTTTTATGGTATATTTTGTTGTTTTTTAAGAAAAATGTAGGTTGTCATACCTATATCATTTTAAAAAGAATTTAATAAACTAGAACCCAAAAATATATATTTTTTAAATTACTTTTTAAAAAAGAAATTTTTTAGCAAAACTATCTTAATTAAACGCAGTCAAGTTGGCCTATTTATATTTAATTTTTAGGAGTTTTAGGAGATTGATGGCAATTTTAGGAGAATTTTAGGAGTTTTTAAGATTTAAGCCAAATTTTATGAATTTTAGGAGGTGTGGGAGCCCTTTATTTAGGAATTTAGGAGGTTTTTTGTAAAATTTTAGGAGAAATCAAGTATGGAAATGAATTTCTTTAATTAAATAAAAACATCTCTTTACTACTTAAAAAATAAAAAAAAATTAATAATTTTGGAAAAATAAGTTATATTGACTAGTTTTTTTAGCCAAATCGCTTGACGAGTTTTTTTTAAATAAAATTAAAAGTGAGGTAAAATTACTACTTTTGTATATACCTATCTGAGGTACAAGTATAAATTTTACCACACTTTTAATTTTATTTAAAAAAATGCGTCGATAGATTTGGTTAATGCCAAAATCAAATGATGTTATCTTTATATTTTAAGACAAAACATGTTAACCGTTTAGTTAATAACTACCAGTAATTAAATCGATAATGTTAAGAATAGTACAAGTCCAAAAGTAAAATTTTTGATAAAATATTTCAAAAAATCAGTTTTATAATTCTAAATGCATTTTTGTTAGAATATTTAAATATAATATTCATATTCTGTAAAATAATTTATATCTTCTAACAAAAATGTATTTTAAACTTTAAAATTGATTTTAGAAAATAAATTGTCAAAATTAAATTTTTGGACTTGTACTGTTTTTATTCTCACCGATTCAATTGTAATGTGGATCTTTATACTTAAAAATCTCATAACAAAATATGAAGTTTGCAAAATACAGCAAAACATTGTTTACTATTATAGCTGTCATTTAAAAGAAAATTAAAAATCCTTTTGTTTTGTATATAACACGGTATATTTTTTACTAAAAAACGAAATATCGCTAAAAATTACAATTTTGAAGTTTTTATGTTTTTTTTTTAAATTTTAGTTGTGATATTATATCATTTTAAAAAGAATTTAATAAAATAGAACCTAAATATATATATTTTTTAATAAAGAATTTTTTTAGCACTACCTTAATTAAACGCAGTCAGGTTGGCCTATTTAAATTTAATTTTAAGGATTTTGGGAGTTTTAGGAGATTGAACAATTTTAGGAAAATTTTAGGAGTTTTCAAGATTTAAGCAAAATTTTAGGAATTTAATGAGTTTTAGGAGGTGTGGGAGCCCTGAAATATACTGTCGGTTGGGCCCTTTTTGCAAAAGGGAGTCCATTGAAAATATCCAATTAAAAAATAATTAATGATTTATTAAGTTAAATTACAAAATTATAATTTTATAAATTGATGTGTTAAATAAAACGATAATTAATATTATATTAACTATAATAGCACCTAATATGTTTTTTTGCGACCCGGTAGAATATTCTTTTTGAATTAAAATAAAAGAAATAAATATAATCATATCGTAAGATTAAAATCAACGTCAAAATTTGTAAATTTTCAAACAAAAAAATCTTTTGCATTTTTAAATAAAATGAAAAAAATGCAAAATTTTTCAGTTTTTTCTTCGAAAAAACCGTTTTTTTTGGAAAAAAAGTTTTTTTACGCCGGCACAATTTTTTGCGGAAATTTCCAACTAAAAACACTCACCCAAGGCTCCGGGATGATGTCCCATATTGGGCGGCTGTATCATCAGATGGTGCGGATTAGCCTGCTGCACGACCTTGTGCCTGAGCATCGCGCTGCCGGGACTCAGCCTGTCCGCGTGGTGATGCGTGTGGTGGTGCGTGTGGCTGTGCTGGCCGCCGCCCGAGCTGCTCGACGAGTGGTTGATGTTCGAGGTGGTGGTCTGCGAGACGCTGCCGTGCCCGCCGGGGCTGTTCGACGAGCGCACCGTCGTCTTCTGGTTCACCTTGTGCTGCAGGCTCTGCGACGAGCTGGTAGAGGTCGAGTGCGAGATTGTTATCGAGTGCGAGCCGCCGTAGTTGTGCTTTTCCATGCTCGCGTGTATCGAGCTGTTGTGAGAGGTGCTCTGGTGGTTCGTCAGCGTCATTTCGTGCGTCTGGTGCCGCTCGCTGCCGTCGTCAACAGGTTCCCTGTTATAATTTTAATAATGTCAATGTTAAGATCAGAGCTGGAAAAGTTACTTTAGTTACTTTGCTAAGATACTTTAAACAAAATAAGTTAGTTACCTCGGGTAACAAGATACTTTAAGTTAAAGTATCTTTAGCAGTGGCAGGGGCAGTGCCTCATCATAGAGAATTAAAAACTTAAGTATAATTTAAATAAACTCCTGGACAAAATTAACGCAACATCAAAAAATTTGCCACATTTTTTATGCTATTTTTTTGTTGAATTTATGATCCAATTTGAATATTTTTTTTTTTGCATTGTAAGTTGCTTCCTTGACAACGTCATAATTTTCGCTGTTTATGATAAAAAGTTCATTTTCGATTTATACCGGGTGTAATAAAAATGTAATGTTTTTTTTCCGAAAATTCGTATCACCCTGTGGAGTATACTAGCAACCGAAACATATAGCAGTTGACATTAGACGGTAGGTTCATCTTTCGCCAACATTTTCTTTTTTGGTTTACTTCATTATCTCTGTTATTAAAGGAGATACGCCGTTTTATATCGTAACATGTTTTTATAGACTTTATTATTCAAAACAATCATTGTTAGATGTTTTCAAGTAGGCTATGGACCTTTTCTGACATTTCAAGAGATGTTTAGATTATTTGTTACCTGTATAATTGTATAATTTCTGCTCGCTTTGATAAATGCATAATCCTGCATAAATAAACTATTCGGTCCCAAAAAAGAGACAAATGGCATTACATGTTCAATTACAATGTTTTCTAGATAATAATCGGCGTTCATTGATCTTACACGTATAGGGACTAACTCTGTGCGTCCGTTGAAGCATATTCCTCCCCAAAACATTACAGAGCCTTCACCAAACGGGTTATATGAATAATGCTGCACTTTACCTCTACACCTTCACGTGGTTCTTGCTGAACAATGAAATATTAATTAGACAAAAATGAGGTTTATTTAAAATAAACGTCATTTTTACAATAAAATATTCCTTCCCCACCACAGTCTAAGTTTTTTACATAGTTTTAAGTAAAGGTTGTGAACTGCGACGTCAGTTTCTTTTAAGTTGGGTTGGGTAAAAAAATTTCTTCGCCTTTAAATGAGGGTAAAACCCTGCCTCTGCCTTACCAAAATGAAATGTCACGGGCCGCCACTGATCTTTAGCTACAAGATAATTTAGAAAGTATCTAAGAAACTTTTGAGTAACTAAGCTGGGTTACCAACCCTTCCAACTTTTCGGTAGATCTACCAACTTTTGGTGTCTTGCTCAAATCTACTACTTTGCAAGAAAAATCTACCAACTTTTTAAGTTTTTAAATCTTTTAAATTGAATTTCCGTGAAAGTGGTAATAATGTGTTGTGTTTTTTACCGAATTTCATAGAGTATATATCGCGCATATACTTACCACAGCTGCCATAATTTTCTTTTTAAATTTATATCATTCAAACTTAACTGAATTAGATTGAGAATGGAGAATGTTAAGAAACACAACTCTTCCTTTTACAACTGAGAAAAATATTTTTATGACCTATTTTCGCGGTCGTCCGTCAACTATAAAATGCATAGGTGGAATACAGATCGGCAGGGGAATCCCCAAACTTTAAAATTAAGTTTTGTTTGATCATTTCTTGTATTTTAAATTAGAATTAGATTTTTTGTACAAAATATAAAATGTATAGTTTAGGCAAGTTAAAAAGAAAAAAAAAACTAGAAAAAAACACCTTTAATAAACTCTGCGGGCTTTTTAAGTGGGTTTTACCAAAAAAACTTGGTAATGTTTAAAAAAACTGTTAATAAATAAAATTTAAACAGCTAGTATAAAATATTTTTTTAGTGATTTATAATATCAAGCTTTACTACTTTAAACTGGTTTCAAACATATTTATAAACGTTTAAAATATTTTTTTTATTAAGCGTTTAATACAGTTTAAAACATGTTATTTATGTTTTCTTTTTAACCCTGTGCTATTGCCAATAATGTTTGTTTATTATAGGAAATTGGTAAAATGTCAAATCGCCCGCGAATAACGGAAATGTTTCCGATTTGCTTTATATTAAAATTTCTCAACAAGTTTGAGCTCTTAATATAAATTTTACTATTTAAATTTAAAGTTTTACCGTTTAAAATGCATGTAAAAAATATTTTTTTTTTCAAATTTCTAATGCTTACCCACCTTTGACATTATTGCAAATCGGTTTAATACACCTTATGGGGAATTTCACGCTCTTTAAAATTGCTTTTGAGTTTTTTTTGTAACTCGGATTGGTTTACCAGTAGGAGTCGTCAAAGGACGACAGTTTTTGAATTTTAAATTTTTCTAACAAACGGCAAAAAGTAGGGAGAAAAAAGGGCTGAATCATAAAAAAAAGTTATCCAACCAATATTTAATGAATTTACAGCCATTTTTATAACTGAAAACGTAAGAAATTGATAATTACCAACTCATAGTGTTATTTAGATTGATTTTTTCTATTTATTATCATTATATTTCCCTACACTAAGAAGTTTTTTAAAATTATTGATTTCTCACTTATAATGTATATGAAAACAACCGATAAATTCATAAAAAACAATAAGAAAATTGTAACGTGGATTTTTCAACATTTCTGTCATATAGCAAAAAAATATAAATGAAGATTATTTAATTTTTTGAAGCGAAATTTGAAATATGTTACATAACCTTCTGTATATTTCGATTAAAGTTTTGTTGTTTTTTTTTTATGAATTTATGTGTTGTTTTCATATTCATTATGAGTGAGAAATCATAATAATTTTAAAAAAGTTCTTAGTGTAGGGAAATATAATGGTAATAAATAGAAAAAATCAATCTAAATAACATTATGGGTTGGTATTTATCAATTTCTTACGTTTTCAGTTATAAAAATGGCAGTAAATTCATTAAATATTGGTTGGATAACTTTTTTTTTTATGAATCAGCCCTTTTTTCTCCCTACTTTTTGCGGTTTGTTAGAAAAAATTTAAAAAACTGTCCTTTGACGACTCCTACTGATGAACCAATGCGAAAAAACTCAAAAGCAATTTTAAAGAGCGTGAAATTCCCCATAAGGTGTATTAAACCGATTTGCAATATTGTCAAAGGTGGGTAAGCATTAGAAATTTGAAAAAAATATATACTTTTTACATGCATTTTAAACGGTAAATTTAAATAGTAAGTGCTTAAAATTAATATTAAGAGCTCAAACTTGGTGAGAATGTTTTTTCCTATATGCAGATTAATATTTTGCTTGAGCACCGAAAAAAACCAAAAACTTTGCGGAAATGAATCACCCTAGTGTATACTGTAAAATCCGCAAAAATGCTTAAAATTTAAAGCAAAGGGAGACACATTTGACACTCTGTTAACTAATTTTAAAAGTATAATAAAGTCAAATACATTTTAAAATGTCAACGTATAACTTTTATCCACTGAATATTGTCTACAAATTTTGTTTAAAAGTGAAAATTTTGCAACAAAAAAGAATTTCAAACTTACCTAGTCTCCCGCTTTGTAGTCAACGAACTCGTAGTGCTGTGCTGCGAAGAGTGCAGAGTGCTACTCAAAGTGTCGATACTCTTCGGCTGCATGACCACGTCCTGCCTGCTGCTCGGCGGCGGGATCGGCTGGTGCACCGGATACGGATACGGATATCCGAACGCGTAGCCCGGATACCCGTGCCCGTGGAACTGGTGCATGGCGTGCAGGAACCCGGGGTGCACCAGGTGCGGCGGCGGGCCCATGCCGCTCGAGACCGGATATCCGGCGTGGTGCATGCTCTGCGCCAGGCTGATGGGCGGACCGCCGGGGCTGATTAAGTTGATGGCGCTGTGCGGGCTGCCTCGCAGCGGCGGCGTCTGGCTGACGTTTACGCTGGGCGTGGGGGTGCTGCTGGTCGTTTTGGGGGTGGTGCACTTTTCCGAGGACGATTGCGCGGGCGAGGGGTTCGACGACGACGACGACGTCGTTTGCGAGTGGTGCTGCTGGGAGAATTCCGGTTCCTTTTTGATGGCGTCCGAGGTGGGGGTCGATGTTCGGTTGTTGGAGGATAGAGGGCGCTCGGAGCTCGACGGCTGTTGCGGGGGTGGGGGCAGATAGCCGGGCACCTGAATAAATGTTTAATATTTATTAGTTTTTAAACATCATTTTAGAAGGAAGATGATTTTTAGTCAAGCATTTTAGAGTAATTCTTACAATGTTGTTCACAGAGAAAAGTAATATCTTGATTTAAGAAAATGCATTTATTTGAAACAGGGTTTCTTGTATGAAGTAGTAACTTGTTGTTTACAATAAAAAAATACTATTATTTGGTTGTTTCTTGAAAAGAAATTATTGTTGTGATTAATTCTAAAGAAATATTTATTTAGAGCAATTAATTAAATTGTTTGGATGTAGGTTGTATGGATTTGCTTTTATCAAATGTTAATACAAGCATATAATATCTTATTTTAACAAAATAATAGAATTGATACATTGTATGTCGTATAAATAACGAAAATACGTGATTTGTTTGTTTCAAAAATACATTTACTTGAAGCCAATACATATTTATTTGCTTTTATGTCAACGTGACTCGCGGAGACAATTAGAGCATTTTCCTCCAAAGACAAAGACGGTTGCCCGGCTGCCAGCAAGCCTTGCCGGCCTGCACTCAAATCACAAGACAAACCTATATCCTTTTTCAATGGTACAAACTCGCAGAACGTTTATCAATCAACGGTTATAGTTTTTTTTGTGCTAATGTCTTATATTATGGAAGAATTCTTGAAAGGAAATAATTTAATTCATTTTTGTTGGTAAGTAAAAGGTATTTGGTACTTTGCAAACTACAAAGTTATATATAGTTATATTTTTGGTTTATAAAACATATGTGAGTATATGTTTTTTAAGGTTAATTTTATATTGTGTTTGTATAGATAATGTTTTATAATAACTAATTAATTGTGTTTTTTTTAAGTAATGTTTTTTGTTATTGTTTTATAATAATCTTTATTATAATGTATTGTATAACCTTGTTTTGTTCAAATAAAACATATTTGAACGAAATTTCTTTAATTTAATTTTCCCTCCCAAGTATCAAGTAAATAACATCAAAATAAATAAATCAGAGTATTAAAAAAAGCAAACATTTGTTTGGTTCAATCACTTTATATCTACTGAAATTATAATATTAAAAGGTACTAATTATTTGTCTGAAATAAATTTTTTTCTTCATATAAGTAAATATTTTGTTTCTTTAAGTAAGCATCACATTTAAAGTAAAAAAAAAGAATTACTTACTCCAAGTAAATGTTTTCCTTCTACTAAACCTGAGATAAAAAGTCAACTAGATATTTACTTTATTTTTATTATTTACTTTACGAAATAAATAATTTATTTGAGCCAAGCCAAATATAGTAAAATCAAGAAATTACTTTTCTCTGTGTTGGAATCTTTAAAGCTAAAAGCTTTTTAGATTATTTTGAAAGCTAGAAAGTTTTATGAAAAGCTTTAATAAGCTTTCTAGATGATGTTTTAATTTATAGGCCTAAAAACTTTTAGGATAATTTTTAAAGCTTAAAGAAGCATTTAAGAAGAGCATTGTTAACAAAAGTAAAAAGAAGCTTTTAATATTATTTTAGATGGTTTCAAAGGTATAACCTTTTAATAAAAAAACTTTATATATAACGTTTTAAAGAATTTTTTTGTAATGATTATTTAATATGCAAATATGTAAGCTAAATAAGCTTTAAAGATTTCTTTGAAGCTGAATGAGCTATTTTTAGCTAATTAAAAAAGCTGAAGCTCTGTATCTGTAACCAGAATAGAAAAATACCTATTTTTTTCAATATAAATAAAAAGTATCATTTTATTTTTGTTATATTATTACTTTTAAAAATAAAATGGACTTAATAGTACATAGCATTGGGGTACAGATATGGTTTTAAACCTTTTTAACGTAATTTTAGAAGCTTTAATATGATTAGAAGCTAGAAAAAGCTTTTTAGCGAATTTAATAATTTTAGAAGCTTAATAAGCTTTTTAGATATTCTAGCTTTTAGGATGATTGTAATTTTATAATGATTCTTGTTTTAAAAGCCGAATGCGATATTTTGAGATGATTTTAGAAGCTAGTAAGCTTTTAAGCCTAATTTTGCAAGCTAAAAAAGTTAGTTTAAAAGTTGGAAGAAGCTTTCAAAATGATTGTAGAAGAAGCTTTTAGGATGATTTTAGAAGTTAAATGGTTTTAAAGCTTTTCAACGCATTTTTAGGAGCCTGAAGTAGCACTAAACATGATTTAAGGGGGATTTTGATAGTTTTAGCTAAAAAGCCAGAAGCTTTTATGATGATTGTAGATTTTTTTTTATAATTTAGAAGAAGTTTTTAAGATGATTTTAGAAGGCAGAAGGATGATTTTAGGAGCAAGATGGTTTTAAAGTCATACGTTTTTAACGTAATTTTATAATAATTCTTATGGTTTATAATTTTGATGGTTTTATAAACTAAAAAAGAATTTTAAATTTTTCAGCTTTTTAACGTCATTTTAGAAACTCAAAGGGGCTTTTAGATGCTTAAAAAGCATTTTAGAAATTCAAGAAGCTAGAAGCTTTTAAGATTATTTTAGAAGCTAGAAAAAGCTTTCAACTGAATTCTGATGGCTAGAAGCTTTTAAAATAACTAGAATTTAGAGGAAGCTTTTAAGATGATTGTTAAAAAAAGTTTCAAATTAAAATGAAGCTTTTAGAATTAGCTAAAACAGAATTTTAGATATAAGGATGATTTTGGAAAGTGCACGTTTTTAGGTTTTAAATATGTAATGTAACATAATTTTAAAAGCTTGAAGGAGCTTTTAAGATTATTATAAAAGCTAGAAAAGTGAGTTTAGAAGCTGAAAAAGCATTTAAGAGAATTTTAGATATTTTAGAAGCTTAATAAAGCCTTTAAGATGATTGCAGAATTTTTTTTACAGTTTAGAAAAAGCTTTTAAGATGATTCAGGTTTTAAAAGCTGTTTTGAGATGATTTTGAAGCTATAAGAAGCTATTTGGATGATTTTAGATGGTAGAAGTTTTTAGGATGATTTTAAAAGCTAAATCAACTAAGCTAATGGTTTTAAACATTTTTTTTAACGTAATTTTAGGATGATGTTAAAAGGTAGATGAAGTTTAAAAGAAATTTTAAAAGCGAGAAAAAACTTTTAAGTTGATTCCGACGGTTTAACATTTTTATTCTTACCTTGACATCCTTGAGACTCTGCAACGGATCGGCCGCCAGTGGCGGCGGTTGCAACGGATGCGCGCCCACCGAAGGCGGCTGAAAACCGCTCGAAGGCGGCGGCAAACCCATCGCGCCCGCTTGCTGCGCGGACGGCGGCATCTGCCCGCCCCCGTAGGGCGAAGACATGACGCCGAGGTGCCCGTCCCTCGCCGGCGGCGGCGCACCGAGAGGCGAGGAATCCCGCACCTCCTGCTTGATCTTCAAGTTTTGCGGTTCGTTTTGCTGCAAGCCGATCGGCGGCGGGATCGGCGGCGGCTGCGCGCTCTGCTGGGGGTGGTGCGCGGGCGGCTGTTGAACGTGTGGCGGTGTAGGTTGGCTGTGCGGAGGCGGCGGTTTCGCGTCGATGTTTTGGCGGGGCGACGGCGACTGCGGGTGGTACATGAAGCCGTAGTGACCCATCGGCGGGGGCGGCGGTTGCTGGCCGGAGCCGCCTATCGTCACCAGGTTGCTGGATTGCATCAGGCTTGGGAGCGGTGGTTGACCTTGAAAAATAGGTTTTGATTATTTAAAATTAAAAATTACAAATTTTATTTAGGAATTCAGGAGGATTTTAGGAGTATTTTAGGAGAAATAAGGTATGCAAATAAATTTCTGTAATTAAATAAAAACAACTCTACACTGCACTTAAAAAATAAGAAAAAAAATATTCTTTTTAACAAAAATAGATAAATATCACTTATTTTGTACAAATAAGTTACATTGACTCTATAGCAATTATAAGTAGAGATGTGAAAAAAAAACATGAAAAAACCGTTTTTTTTTGTTTTTTTTCAAAATAAAATTTTGAGTAAAATGTAGAATATATTACATTTTTCATTATTGAAAATTTTGACCAAGACTAAAAAAATCTGATTTCTTATTATTTGGTAGTTTCCACATTAAAAACCAATAGTAATGTAAAACTTCTACACTAATACAAAAAATTAAAGGATAAAAAATTGTTTTTGCGATTTTTCGGATAGCTGTACCTTTGTTAAAAATGGTCGTATTGGAGTCGTAAAAAAGCAATTTGAAGCTTGATGTTTATAGTTTTGAGATTTTTAGATGATAAACGTGCAACGCTCAATTCTAACGAATACCGTAATAAAAAAAATCGATTTTTTTTGCTTTCTTTTTTGGTCCACGGAATGTTCTGACCAATAAATAAATATTCTACAAGAATTTGCTATTGTTTTTTTGGAAAAAAAAATTCCATACTAAAAGTGCTTTTGGTAGCTTTTTGAAAAATCAAGCGCTGAATCAAAAATATTATATGTAGTTACTTTTTTAGGACCAAATCAAAACAAGCGCGGCCCTTATTGGTCTATTCGGTGGTGGTGGCTAATTTTAGTCCACAGAAACATAAAAAATTAGGCAAATGGGACTAAAAACCTAAAATGTGAAAAAAACCATTTGAAAAAAACAACGAAAAAAAACGGAAAAAAAACAAAAAAAACGGACCGTTTTTTTTTTCAAGTCGCATCTCTTATTATAAGGCAATGAAAACTTTTGTATAAAATTATTTTCAATGCGTTATAACTTCCGGTTAAACCGGAAGTGATAACAACTTTGGATTTTCAAATGGAACCATGTAAATATTATTGCATTTTAAAATTCTACCTAAAATTCTAGAAATACTAAAATTTGATTATTTTTTTATTCCTATCAGTTTTTGAGGTATTTATTTTTTCAAAAATTTTGACAGATGGATGTCTGTATTACCACTAATTGTAATGTTAAAAAGTTAATTTATGGTTTACCTGTTAACTAAGGAGCACTCTATCGAAAGCCATTAATAGTATATTAAATTTTTATACAGGGTGTCTGGAATGTACGTTGACTTTTTTGTCACTTTAAATATCAATAACTTTCTTATTTCAAAAGAAACTGAAATACAATTTTTACATCATTCGCATTTTTTGTAAAATCTCTGTAAATATTCATTTTAGGTTGATCCCCCTGTATATCCGGGGTATATACACAAGTAGAAATTTCACCACACTTTTAATTTTATTTAAAAAAACGCGTCGATAGATTTGGATAAAAAAACTAGGCCTAAGTCAAATGATGTTATATTTATATTTTAAGAAAAAAAAATGTTAACCGTTTAGTTAATAACTAACAATAATTTTAATGTGAATCTTGATACTCAAAAATCTCATAATTTAAAAAAATATGAAGTTTGCATAATACAGCAAAACATTTTTTAGATTGTTTACTATTGTAGCTGTCAATTAAAAGATCATTTGTTATAACACGGTATATTTTTGTCGAAAACAAACGAAATATGGCTAAAAATGAGAATTTTGTAGAAGTCTAGGAGCTAGGTACTACATGGATTTTGTAGGTATATTTTGTAGTTTTTTAAGAAAAATTTAGGTTGTGATATATTATTTTAAAAAGAATTTAATTAGGATTTTAAAATTTCCGGAAAAATTGAGCCGGCGGAAAAAAAACCGGTTTTTTTTCTCGGAAAAAACGGAAAAATTGTGAAATTTGCAGAAAAATTGACTTATTTAAAGGGTAATACGAAAAAGATGCTAAAGTCAATTTTTCTAAAAATTTCCAAATTTTTACGGATAATATAGGTACAATGATATCAAGAAAATATTTAATTTCCGACGCTGATAATCATAATCATAATATTATAATTATATTCGATGCTGTTAATACATAACTTTCGTTTTATTTGACAATTCAATTTAAAAAATTATAATTTTGTAATTTAACTTTTTAATGGACTTCTTTTTGCAAAAAAAACAACCGACAGTATACGATTACGTTTATTTTCTTAAATCAATTTAATTTAATTCAATGTTTAGTTTTTTTCTGTAATAAAGGATATTTTTTTAATTAAAATAATGTTAAGCTTTGGTTGCTACCTTTTTCAAATGTGTAGGTATATTTTCCAAAACAAAATTCAATTTTTACCAAAAAAGAAAAATTTTCCAATACCTGGGATGAAAACTGAAAAAAACAGTTTTACCCTAATTTTAAAACCCTAAATTTAATAAACTAGAACCTAAAAATATATACTTTTTAAAAAAGAATACCTTAATTGGCCTATTTATATTTAATTTTTAGGATATTGATGGAAATTTTAGGAGTCTTAAAGATTTAAGCCAAATTTTAGAAATTTTAGGAGGTGGGAGCCCTGATCATATAAAATAGAAAAACAAACTTACCAATACTTGTAGCACCCGCCATCAAATCGTGCCTCTCAGGTCTATCCAACCTCTCAGGCCTGTCCAATCTCTCCAACCTCTTGTCCTCCACTTCGTAACCTCCATCGGCGCCACCTCTAACGTTACCCCCACCACTGTTCACGACACTACCATCCGACGACGCCATCTGCTGGCTCTGCGGCACGACCTGCGGTATATTCAAAGTGGGCTGCGGTTGCGGCGGTTGAATGAGCGGCGTTGCCACGTCGCCGCCTCTGTTGCTGGTCAGTTCGATGGGTTCGTCGCGCGGCTCGATTTTGATTGGCTGCTGAGCGGATTCTTTGTTAAGGTTACTGGAAGGCGGCGGTTGATTGAAATTGTACGGTTCTTGCTTCAGACTATGATTAATGTTGATGATTTGCTCCATGTTTCGCTCGATTTGCGGTTCCTTCAGGCCCAACGGGTGTTTTTGCGCGCCGTGGTTAATGTCTTTGATGTTGAACATGTTTTGTTGATCTTTTAAAGGTCCGTACACATTCTCTTTAAACATCGTGGAATCTTCTTTTGAGTTGACGCTGATGGCGTCATTGCTAGAATCTAACTCTTCTTTGATTATTACTTTTTCCATTGATATTACTTTAGGAATTATCAACTCAGTTTTGTATTTTTCACTGGACGATTCTTTTATGTCTTCTTTTAAAATCTCCTTTTCAATCTTGAGGAAAAACAGAAAAAAATATTACACTATTTCGTATATTTCCATTAGTACATTTATCCTCTTTTAAACCTCATATTATGAATAATATCTACTGGACAATTAAATATTTGTAGAACATTAAACTGATTTCTACTTTAAAAGCTTGAACAAAATTAATGTAAAGATTATAAGATAATTATCTTTATTATTTTTTATAATAATTATTATTACAATTTGTGTTTTTTACTGTAATGTAATATTTATAAATAAATTAAAATGAAAATTCAGTAAATAATAACTATTACCTAACTTACATAATAAGACTTATTTGCTTGGAAAATCTTATTGTGGTAAAATGTGACACCGCTAAATGGCTGGTCGTGGTATGTTAAAAATATTGGTAGAAGATCAGTGACAAGTGTTTCCCTTATGTTTTAAGAGCGGTAAGTACTTCTAATTGTAAATATTAATTTAATAAATTTAGTTTAAACCTGATATTTTAATGTGTACTTTTTTAATAAATAACGCCGGTCCCTAATGATATCTTAATTGTTTTTAATTATATCCCTGACTAAACATTTTAGATTTATACAATGACATATACAATACATAACCCAATTTGTTTAATAAATATCTTTCCATATAATTTTTTTACCTTTTACCTTTATAGTTGCTATAGTTGCTAAGAATTCTTAACAACGGTCCTTATAAATAATAACGACGGTCCCTCTAATAATAATAATAATAATAATAAAATTGTTGCTAATCAAATGTATGTATGTATGTACAATAGACTGGGCCAAACAAATCAACTATTTTTTTTTTTGAAAAGTATATCGAGAATATGGTTTGGGGTGACAAAAAAAAAATTATTGTGAAAGTTTGAGTCCATAATATTAATATTAATTAATTTTAAATTTTTTTCCTTAGCAAGTTTTTGTCTCAGAATTCCCAAACTATTGAGTTTAACAAAATTGACTCAGAAATATTTTTTTAAGTAAATTAAATGCTCTACAAAAAAGGTTAAAATGAAATTTTTCGTCAAATTAAAATCATGCCTTAAAAATTGGTTAGTTTTACATTTTGATCTTTTAACTTTGGAATTTTGTAATTCATGTAAAAATCAGTACCCAGAAAAAAACCGATGAATATTCTTATGGGAAATCAAATGCTTTACAAAAAAGCCTCCTAACATTTTTGGCTAAATTCACTCAATCAAAAGTTATTCAAGGTTAAAGTTGAAGTCAAAATGAAATTTTTTTTTCCTCTGTAGATTTATTTTTTGATGGGTGATAATTTGATTTTTTTCTTTATAAATGTGTATTATATAACTAATTAACAATTTCCAATAAAGAACAACATGATTGTTATTATTTAAATCCAAACATTTTTTTTAATTGTGATTTTTTTTTTTGTAGTTTTAGTTTTTAGATTTAGTTTATATAGGATATAACTTAGGGTATAGGCACTCTTACATGTAACAACAATTTTATATTGTGTTTGTTTGAGAATAAATAAATAAATAAAAATAAATAAAATAAATGATGAAATAGGTAACAGTGAAAATAATATTTTCTAAAGAAAATGGCTTCTTAAAGCGAAGTTATTTTTTATTAATTTTCAGTAATTTTATCAATAACATAAAGATTATCATCGATAAAAGAATTCTGTTTTTAACTGACCCAAAAAAAAATCTAGAGCGGAAAAAATAAAAATTTCAAAACAAGACTTCAAAATTAACCTTGAATAACTTTTGATGCAGTGAATTTAGCCAAAAATGTTAGGAGACTTTTTTTGTAGAGCATTTGATTTCCCATAAGAATATCTATCGGTATTATTCCGGGTACTGATTTTTACATGAATTACAAAATTCCAAATTTTATCACTATACCAATTTTTAAGGATGATTGTAAGGAAACGGTTGATCTGACGGGAAATTCCAATCAAACCTTTTTTGTAGAACATTCAATTTTCTTTAAAAAATATTCTTAAGTCAATTTTGTTAAACTCAATGGTTTGGGAGTTCTGAGACAAAAACTCGATCAGGAAAAAATGATAGACCTCTTAATATTAATATTATGGACTCAAACTTTCACCATAATTTTCTTTTGTCACCCCAAACAATATTTTCGATATACTTTACAAAAAAAAATAGTTGATTTTTTTGGTCCAGTTTAATGTACAACCCTCTTGGATTTTATCTTTTATTAGAAAAGGAAGAATAGCTGTGACAATTTTTTCATATTTTAATAAGTTTTTTAAATTTATACCATTATTAAATTTTATCCCTTATAGGTTTTGTTTAGGAAATGCCAAAAGGGAAAGGTAAATATTTTATGGTCACTAACCTTAGGTTGACTTTCAGACTTGATGATGGCAGGATTTTCTTTCTTGACTTCCATTTTAACGCTTTCTGGGTTGAATTTCAGATCTTTCAGGTCCAAAACCGGTTCTAAATTGCGTTTAATTAAATTCTTTCTATCGTTTATATCTTCAGGCAGACGAATCGAAACGTTCAATGGCGCAGTAGGTTCGGAAATCGGCTAAAAACAAAAAAAAATCGCAATCGCAGCAATAAACAAAACATACAAATCTCACCTTGTTTATGGGTATAAGCGGCAACACCGCAGGCACCTGCGGCGTTGCCATTTTCTCGTCAGCGCCTCTCTCGATAGTCTCGCTAACTTCCACCTTCACTGTGTTTTGTTTATTTGTGGGCGTGTCTTGCGGCAGCGGATTGTTGTTATTGGCTGCGGCGACGACAGGCGGCGTTGTCAGGTTAGCACTCGCCGCGCCGTTGCCGAACGTAGGTGGCGAGCTCGCTTGCGGCGTTGCCGAGTTGTCCAGAGATTCGGAGTCCGGTTCTGGGGCGTCAGGTTCGTCATTAATAGTTTCTGCGATAAAAAAATGAAATTACAAATAAAAAACCCACAGTATTTTTAGTCCAGGAAACAAAGAGTGTAGAAGGAAAACTCGATGGTAGTCGGGTTTTATTTTTTTTTGTGTAGAGTCAGGGGTGCTGATAATGAATCAAGGGTTGGGAAAATTTCACTTTTTGCTGCACTTTTTCATGACATTTATGAAATTCATTAAAATTTCCTAAATTTCTGAAATTTCATGAAATTTATTGAAACTTTTAATAAATTTCAATCACTTTAAGTGTAATATATTAATATTGAAATAAGCCCACTCAGGGACCATGGCAAATTGCCTCTCTTACCTCCTACCCCTCTGTGGGCCCCTGCACCAATAATATAAATAGTAAATACCTATGTTTACCACAAATTTCTTGAGATTTCCTTTTAAAATTACTAAAACTAAAAGAGATATAGTTTTTGGTAAGCTAATGAGATTGTGCCATTTTCATTGTTTTATATTTATATATATTTATTATTTTTAAATATTTTACTGAAATTTTACGAAAATTGAAGAATCTTCATGAAAATTTTATGAGCCAAAGGGATTTTTTATCCGTTTTCCGATGCAATTATAGCAAAAGTAAAAGTAAAAAATTTTAAAATCTGATTTAATTTACAAATTAAATTGGTAACTGAATTAAATTATTTAAATTAATGTATGCATATAAGTAACAATAATTACTTATAGTGTATTCAAATCCAAGCAGAACTAAACAAGAACGCCCAGACGCTTGATAACTCGTTCTTATTGGTCGATTCGGAATCTGTTGTAAATTATTATTAAAGGTCCCAGGGGAGGCCGCATGTGAAATTTATGCGAAATTTTCAGTAAATTGCGAAACTTTCAATGAAATTTCTGAAAGTTTCACAGGCAATGTTGAAATTTTCGGATTGAGTTTTCCTTCTACAACCTTTGTTTCCTGGACTATTTGTACATACCTGAATCTGTAGTAAGACTCGAAGGGCTCTCAGGCCTTTCCCTCTTCTTTTTAACCACCCCGAGATCTTTTTCCTCCTTTTCTTCGTCCTCGACCTTCTCTTGCTGCCTTTTTCTGTTCTTGCCGGGCGTTTCTTCGCCCTTCTTCTCCTTGGTCTTCTTCGTTTTCGCCGGCGTGCTCGAGCTGTTGTTGCCGGAACCTTTTTCCCCGGAAGAAGAGTTGTTCGAACTGTTCGTGGATTGTTTGACGGGCGTTTTCGGTTCCGGGGTTTCGGTGCCTCCTCTTTTTGGCCGAGACGGTTTAGTGGGCTGTTCTTTCGCAGCCTTGTTTCGAGTGCGCATGCGCTGCGGGGACGCGTCTGGGCTCTCAGCTGAAAGATTTTTTTTTTTTTATTAATTTTTATCGAGAACTTTTAAGATCGTTTTTGAAGCTTTAAAGAGGTTTTTAAAGGTATTAGATGATTTTAGAGCCAGTGGTAGCATTTAAAATGTTTTTAGATAGTAAAGGTCTGGTTAAGTACTTTAAATACACATTGACAAGTTGTGTCTTTATGGAGTTAGTTTAAGTTAAAATGACATACAATCGTTAAAATAAAGTGCATTTTTTGTAAAATAATATTAATGTGAAAATTATTTTATTATCTCAATACAAAAATACAAAAGTACCAAACATTTTCTTGACGACAATATTTGAAAAGATTATATGAACGTTTGTACCTTTTGATTTCGCTTTAGTAGTGCAGTTAACTAGATTTAACTGATAAAGCGTTACAAATTTTGCGTGCAGTGCCCATCAAACTCTTCTCTTTTACTGTAAAAAACTGCGTCTATTTTCAAGGGATAAATTGTAATTTACACAGACAAATTTAAGATTTTAACGCCGGTAGATTCTCAAGTTAGAAATTTTAACGTGAATTCCAATCAATACAACTGTTACTTTTTGTAACTTCAACATTTCCCGTGTAATAATTTTTAATACTTTGTGATAATATTTTGCTATAGTAATCAAAAAAATCAAAGGATAAAATATTTTCTTAATTTAATAATATTTTAAAGTTACTTTAATATTCTAAAGTATCAATAATTATTAAGTTTAATTAAAATAATAACGGGCAATGCTAATGGTAAAAATAACGCCAAAAATGTTTATTGGGATGATTACTTTATTTTCGTATAGATGTCGCTTTATACAAATATTTAATTTAACTAATTTTTTTAGATTATATTAGGTATTTGTCGTAGAAAAAGTATAGTTAGTTTAATTAAGCACTTCTAACATCCTAAATTCGTGACTAAAATGGCGGTTATCAAACTTGATACATAATAAACAAAAGTTTAATAATGTCTCTAGAAATAAAAAAGCAATATTATTTGTTAAAAAAACACAATTAAAAATTACTTTGGTTTATTAAATGTTCAAAATGTAGCCCGTCCCCATCATATTTATAAAGGTTTTTTCTGGGATATCTCTCTCTACCTGCTGATGCTATTCTATTTTTTAACTCATCCAAGTCTCTGGGCTGTCCTTTATAAACCACCAATTTAACATGACCCCAAAGAAAAAAATCCAAGGGTGTTAAATCAGGAAATCTTGGTGGCCATTCAATTGAGACTCGACGTCCAATACGTCGGCCTGAAAACCTGCCTTTTAACAACTGCCTAACTGCAAGGGAGTACCTAATGGGGTAGAGCTCTTGTAGATCTTGTTAAAAGTACAAAAGATCTTCTTGCAATAAAGAGTTTTTCGCCTCATCCATATGATTTTCCAAAGAATCGTTTATTAAAAGGTCCATAACTTCTTCCAAAAGATTTAAGTACAGTTTGCCAGTTGGGTTTTGCTAAAAAAATACAGGCCCAATTCTAGAATTTCCGTAAACACCAGCCCAAACATTAACTTTTTCTGGATACTCTGTATTGTCAACCCTAATAGGCCGCGGATTTTCATCTGGCCAGTTGTTTACATTTTCATTAAGAAAAAATGTACACTCATCACTGAAAAATTTTTGTATGACCTATTAAATTAGTCAATGTTTAGCAAAACTCTATTCTCCTATCAAAATCGTCTTCATAAAGCTCTTGAAGAATATGCATCTTGTAGGGATGAAATTTGTTCATCTTTAATGCTTTTCTTACTGTTTTGTGTGATATTCCTGTTTTGCAAGCCACAATGCGGCAAATTTGGCAGCAAAAGTTCCCAAAAATTTCTATTTGTGCTGCTTCATCCAATATAGTTCTTTTTTTGTTAGTAACAGAACCAGTTTCAATAAATTTTGCTACTAAATTTTTAACGTATTTATGATTTAAATTCAAATAAGGATTTCTTTCCATTTTAGTCACGAATTTAATTAATTAAATGAGTGCCTAGTAAAGTTTATGAACAAGTTGCATACTATACTTTTTCCACGACAAATACTATATATTAACTAAAAAATGATTTAAATTTTAATCATCTCTTAAAGTTATTTTAATATTTTAAAGTATCAATAATTGTTAAGTTTAATTTAAATAATTAAAAGTTAACATATTTTGTTCTGTTTTTGTTTTAACTGAAGTAAATGTTAAAAACTGTAAGAAAATAGAAATAAAAATAATTTTATTTTAGAATATATGTACACCTTGGTAACATACAGGGTGTTGCCAAAATTTTAACCCTATATAATAGGACTAGTTTACTCAACCAGATCTTTACAAGGATGTGCTGCAAGACCACTGCTGGAAGTGGATCCAAATTATTCGCCAACCATTGAAAAAAATTTGACCCTCGCTAATTAAAAACCTGTTTAAGCATATTTTTTATTTATTTAAGATGAGATATTAAGGGTGGTAAATTTTAAAATTGACATCCTGTATATATAAAAAGCTTTTAAAATTAAGGTGATTTTGGAAGCTGGAAAAAACTCGAAGCTCTTAAGACGACTTTAGAAACCAGAAGAACCTTTTAATGTAATATAAGAAGCTAGAAAATTATAAATATGAAAAATAAACCTTTTAATAAGTATATGACAAAAATTTTTAGAGGTAAAAAAAAGAAACTTTTATTATCTAAGAGGTTCTTCAAAGTTAAATTAGAATAGGGTGAGAATAGCTTTTAAAATGGACATCTGTAGAAGAATAAACACTATACAAAGCTAAAAATCAAGTTTTTAAAGGCAAGAAGCTTTTAAGATAATTTTTGAAGCTAAAGTATGATTTTAAGAGAATTTTAAAATCTACGAAAATAACTTTTACGATAAATTTATAATCTAGAAATGACATACTAAAATTTGTAATCAAAGAATTTAAAAAAAAATATTTTCTTACCTGGTGCGGTATTTCCATTAGTCCCTGCAGAGGGAGCAACCACAGGCGGTAGTTCATTTGTCTTCTTGTAATGCGATCTACAGTCCCAACACAAAAGTTGTCCATTCTTACCCCCAGGTTGCCAATCTTTAGAATCTAAAAGGCACCAATTTTAAACACTTTTCTAATATTATGTTACCAACATTATAAACAAAAAAATCACTTACTAGTAGTAAAGCAGTGAGAACACCTGTACTGTGCCTCTCTACTGTCACTGTCATCTTCGGAATTGTCATCCTCGGTAACGGAACTTGTCTCCCCTGGCTCTTTCCCCCCAGGTTGGGGGGAAGGGGCTTCTGGTTGGGGCGCACCTCCACTTGTCCTACCTAGATTCACAAACATAAGTAAAAATTGTGTTAAATGTGCAAATATTTACAATAAAAGCATTATCTTCAGTTAAAACGATGTCGTTAGTGAATGAAATAAATATAAGTTGGCCCAGGCAAAAGCCTTGTGGCACACCAAAAATAAAACGATTTTATTGTAAAAATCTGCATGGGTTTCAGAAAAATAAATAAAATTTTGATGTAAATAAATAAAATAATCAAATTTTGTCATGTTAATAAAAAACTAAATAATACTCCAAAACTAAACAAAATATAACCAAACAAAACACTAAAATCTAAAATATCTAGGACTTTTTTAATAATATTCATTAAATTTTTCGAACATATCTCGCGAAATCCTAAATATTGTTTAAATGGTGACCCAGAGATACGATTTTTTATATTCTTCTCCCAAATTTTGTGGTTCCGAAACGTATTTCTCTTTTACAAGATTTTGTGTTGTTTGTGTGAATATGTGGCTGAAAAAAAGTGTATAGTGTGATATAACTAAAAAGTAAATACATGCACAATATTTAAAAGAGGAATTAGGAATGTAAAGTCCAAATAACCAAAAATTGAATAACATGCAAAAAATAAAAAGTGTTAGTAGGTAAGAACTACATAATATTTAAACTAAAAATGCTTTGTGTGTAATGAATAATAATAATAAAAGAGAAACTAAACAAAACAAATAACAATCTACACCCTAAATTTCCCGCAAATTTTACCTGTGCTTTGAAAAATTTTGTGCTTCAATATCAAAAAATTTCGCCGTTTTTCCAAAAAGTATCTCTCGGGTCACCCTATATACTACCCTCTAAGATCTTACCTGAATTGTTTGAATTACCTCCTCTGCTATTTCTAGTGTTACGTATTCTTCTCAGCGAGCCCTGTCTTCTTCTTCTGTGAGGTCTGTTGTTATTCGCTCCCGGAGTTTTTTTCCAAAGATAGTAGAATTCCACCAATTCCGGCTTTAAAAAAATTAAAATTATATATAAAAGGTTTAATCTAGAGGAGATAACCTTTTAAATGACGTTTTATTTTTGAAAATCGCTTGAGAAATAACAAAGTTACGGTAGGTTTCTTCAAAAAGCACTGAAGATGCCCAAAAACGTTTTCTGAGCAAAAAAATGATATTTTCTAGTTCTGGTTAAGTAAGAAGATTATCTCTCAAAGGACGTTTTATTTTTTTAAATCGGACAAAAAATAACCGGTTTCTTCAAAAATGCTGAAGATGGAAAAATATTTTTTTTTAAATCTACATAACAAACAACAATTTCACAAACTATAGAAACTCACCGTATCTCTATGTGGTAAAAGATCCTTTCTGATTCTGAAGAAATTCTTCCCAAATTGCCTTAAACCTTTAACAAATCTCTTGGTTTCTTCCTCCGACCATTTTTTGTCGATTCCCTTAGGAGCAGGACACTTTACTAGAGCTTGTAAGGCTTTCCTTGGGTTGTACCCTGAATCATGTAGCTAAAAAAAGAAGAAAGTGCTATAACTCTGAAACTATTAAATATATATTTTTGAATTTGGAGGCACTTCATGTAGTGTTTATACTGAACCACTTTTCATGCACAATTGGGGAGTCTATAAATAACCGAGAAATTAAAAAAGAAGAAAGTAAAAATAACTCAAAAACTATTGAAGATAAAATGATGAAATTTGCACACATTATAGTAAATATAATGGTCAACATTTTTACCAATTGAATAATTTAACTCTATAAACTTCAGAGTTACAGACTCTTAAACTTGGCAACTTAAAAAGGAAGAAAGTTAAAATATTTTAAAAACTATTTAAGCTAGAATAATAAAATTTGGTGACATTATAGTGGATATATTGGGCTACATTTTGTCCAAAATTAAAGAGTATAACTCCATAAACAGCGAAGTTATAGGCAGTTAACTCACCACATCCAAAGCATTGCATTGCATTGGCACTTTATGTAGTGTTTATACTGAACCACATTGAATGTCTATAAATACCCGAGAAATTAAAAAAAGAAGAAAGTAAAAATAACTCAAAAACTATTGAAGATAAAATGATGAAATTTGCACACATTATAGTAAATATAATGGTCAACATTTTAACCAAAATTGAATAATTTAACTCCATAAACTTCAGAGTTACAGACTCTTAAACTTGGCAACTTAAAAAAGAAGAAAGTTAAAATATTTAAAAAACTATTCAAGCTAGAATAATAAAATTTGGTGACATTATAGTGGATATATTGGGCTACATTTTGTCCAAAATTAAAGAGTATAACTCCATAAACACCGGAGTTATAGGCAGTTAACTCACCACATCCAAAGCATTGATTGTAGTATCGTCCCTTGAAGCAGCGTTGGCGCCATCTTCCGGGCATCCGCCGTCGCACATACCAGCGAAGGCGGCCATGCTTCTTGCAGCTCTTAAATACATTATTAAGTCACTGTCCATCGTCATTGCCGGTACCCATCTTAATTCCTCTCTTGTTTTAGAGTTTTCCGGGTCCGGAGATAACTGCTCCGGTGGTACTCCGGGTCTGTACTCCGGTAATCGAGCCTATTTTTTTTTTCGAAGAAAATTTGCGTTATTTTTCTTATCTTTTTTATTATCGAGGTCACTTAAATAATTTTATTTTATTAGTTTGTTTGTGATTTTAAATTATTGTTTTAGGTTATTATATTAATAATTAATTAATTAATAACCGGCAGAAGTATGGAACAAATTCATTAAAAACGTCGATTTTACTTTTAATTCCACATTTTGATGTAAAATTTTCATATTTGCAGCCATTTTTGTAGAAGCTATGGACTACCAATATAATATTGGCAATATTATTACGAATATTGGACTAATATCTTTGTGCTACTGTTGTAGGTATAAAACATTAAAAACTATACATTTTCCACTTTTAATAATTAATATTTCCAAAACTATCAACCCAAAAGGAATAAATGTGCATATTGCTGAAATCAAAATTTCATAATCTATTTGAATCTTCAAAAAAAAAGAGTGGGGTACAATTTAAAAAAACTGACCGATTACTACAAAAATGGCGGAAAATATGAAAATTGTACATTAAAATGTGCGTAATTGAAAAAAAAATCGACAGGTCTATAGAATTTTTCAATAAATTTGTATCATACTTTTCCGGTCACAGTATGTGGTTAAACTAAACAAAAACAATTATTCATAATTAAGATAATAAGTATAAATAACTGAATAATTTACCATAATATAAATATATGTGGTTTTTAGATTAACTTTAATATATTACATTATGAAACATTTTTGTTCATAATATACCACCATTTTATCCTTTAAATAGTCATCATAAATTCACTAGCCGCAAGAAGACCACAAGGCACAAACTTTATTTAAGATAAACTATATGGTCTGGTAAAATTCTGATGAAAATTTATATACTGGACCACCCTAGTATATACAGGGTGATCATTTAACTTGAAACTTTGAAATATCTGCATTTTACGAAAAAATGTTTAAAATAAAAATTAAATGATTTGTGGGGGGAAATCAATCAGTACTAAAATTGGTCCTCATACTCTCCTCCTTATAGGGGGAACAGGGGGTAACTTTAAAATTTCCAATGTAACACCCTATTTCTTATTGCACATTCGGATCATTCGACTAAAAATAGGTAGATTTTGTCTAAAACATTTTTTCATATTTGTAACAGATGGCGCTGTAATGAAAAAAAATCAATTTTGTTGGATTTTTCATCTGTATACGATTCTGCAATAATTTTTCTATAAAAATATCACTTTTTTTGGTAATAATTATCTTATTAAATTAAATATGATTTACCCAAGTACCCACGAATTTTAAACATTATTTCATTCGGTGATAATTATCAATTGCGCACCATGGTCACTTTTTACCTGCCAGCATTAAATCCTTTAATTTAAAGGATAATTGTACTATTTTTAATAAAAATACCTCATTAAGGTAAAAAAAAAACATTATTTTGTCAATTAATTAATTTAATCCTAATTGAGGTATAAAAAATGGTATTTGGTTATAAATAATAATTATTATTGAGGTATAAAGAAACTAGTTATAGTTTAGCATTATTTAATCAATTTAGTTCGAAGATTAATTGCAAACAAAAAGACCTCCTTTCGTTAAGCAGTTATTCATAATGGATTTTTTAACAGTGGTAGAAAAAATAGAAATGATTTTGATTTATGGAGAAGCAGGCAGTTAATATCTACGCTCAGCGTTTTCCGGATAAAATTCGATCACGTACTTCATTACACCGTAAAGTCAAGCAGTTTACTACAAACGGGAGTGTTCAACCGAAAAAAAGAGTTCGTCGAGCAACAGTCACAGGTGGAAATAATGAAATTAATGCATTAGCAGCAACGGCCGCTAATCCTCATGCAAGCACACGAGAATTATCTAGAGATTTGGGAATATCCCAGAGCAGTGTTGGCAGAATATTAAAACGAAATGCGAATAAATAAATGCATTGAAGTCGAAGGACACCATTTTGAGCACCTACTTTAATTAAAATTTAAAAAATTAATAAATTTAAAAATAAAACCAAGTATTTTGTTCAAAAATTATACAGAAGAAAAATTGAACAAAATTTTAAAGTTACCCCCTGTTCCCGCTATAAGGAGGAGAGTATGAGGACCAATTTTAGTACTAATTGATTTCCCCCCTCGATTCATTTAATTTTTATTTTAAAAATTTTTTCGTAAAATGCATACTAACTGAGATATTTCAAAGTTTTAACCCATTGTCTCTAGTATATAATATTATATATTATATTATAATCTCTATGATCCAAACCCATTTACAAATAGACAATTTGTACTATTATACAGGGTGTCTAAAAAATTCCTGACCTATTAATGCAATGTTGCCATAATCTCTATTATTTATTAAATAAGTTAATTAAATATACAAAATTCTTAGACACCCTGTTATCGTTGAGTAAAGATCAACGCTGTTATTGTTAATTTTTAATAGTGTACATAATATTTACTACTAAATAATACATTTATTGTAAATTACACAGCATATCTCAAAACTAATAATATTAAAACTATAAGTAACGTAAATATGGACGAAAAAAATTGACATTGGGGTTATCTCTTGAAATTTGCGAATTTTATTTTATAGAAATGATTTCTATAGAGCCAGCACCAACCTCTTATTTTTAATAATTTTTTTCTTTGCTAACAAATTAGTAATAAATTACTTTCTATAGAGATAGTTTTATATACACTCACGTGCAAAATAATCGATCCACACAAATTTTCGATGAATTTCAATCGCAAATAACTTTTTTATTTGATGTCGAATTTAAACGAATATTAAATAATACTGTAGATAAATTATTGGACAATCGCTCACATTTTAAAAAATTACTAAAAAATAGACGTACGTTTATAATATACAGGTTTAAACAAAAATATGTTTTTTACCATAAGTTTAAGACAGCAAAACCGTATATTGTTCTAAATTAAGTTTTATTTAACAAGTCATATCTATTCTTAACAGTTTTGTTTTTGGTTCACCTCGATATATTTATTTTTGTGGAAAATATGGAATTAAAAAAAAACATTGCAATTTCCAATATTTTTCTGTATGAAGAACTAAGGTTGCTATGGTCCATCCATAGGCTATGGAGTGACAGTGACATGTCACAGGTGACAATCTGCAGATTTGTTGAATTATCCCATACTTGGACATGTCATACACGGCTTTCAAAAGCTATCAAATTGTTTTTTGCAAATTAATGTTTAAATTTTGAGGTGTCTTCTTACTTTAAAAAATGGATATGTCTCCCACTGATGTTGCCAGAGCTATTAATTTAATCCAGGATGGACGGTCACAGTTTTACGTGGCAAGACTTTTAAACGTTACAAGAAGTAAAGTACAAAGAGCAACATCAGTCGGAGACACCTCAAAATTAACACATTAATTTACAAAAAACAATTTGATAGCTTTTGAAAGCTGTATATGACATGTCCAAGTATGGGATGATTCAACAAAACTGTCACTGTCATTCTCCATAGCCTATGAATGGACCATAGCAACCTTAGTTCTTCATACAGAAAAATATTGGAAATTGCAATGTTTTTTTAAAAAATCCATATTTTCCACAAAGATAAATATATCGAGGTGAACCAAAAACAAAACTGTTAAGAATAGATGTGACTTGATAAATAAAACTTAATTTAGAACAATATACGGTTTTGCCACTCTACAGAGTGTCTTAAACTTATGGTAAAAAACATCTTTTTGTTTAAATCTGTATATATAATATATTATAAACGTACGTCTATTTTTTAGTATTTTTTGAAAATGTGATGTCCATTAATTTATCTACAATATTCTTTAATATTCGTTTAAATCCGACATCAAATAAAAAAGTTATTTGCGATTGAAATTCATCGAAAATTTGTGTGGAATATTTTGCACGTGAGTGTAGAAAAAAAAGTCACAAATTTCAAGAAACACTTCCAGTAGACAATTAAAATACACTGTTAAACATAAAAAATACATATACATACAAAAATACATTAAGTCCGGATGTAGGTATTAGATACGTCTGTAGTATTTTTAACCCCCGGAGGTAGGTAGTACTAAGCATGCTCTAGAAGCATTTGTATGATTGACTTTTTTTTAACAAAAAATAACCAAAGTCATCGTCAGAATTAAATTGGTATTTTTTTGTTGCTATCATGTCCAACAAAAAATTACAGATTTAGTTCAGGCGAAGATGTAGTTTTTAATATAATTATGTCAAAATAAATAAAAAATGCGTTTAGTATTTTTTTGACATTTGATTTTGGGTTCCCAAAGATTTACCAATTAGTTTATTTACGACATGCCAATATAAGTTAAACAAATACCCTAGACTGCAAGTAGTGCCAACTAAAAAAAATCCAAATAGGGTAAACCACAAGTTATTGGACACAATAATATTATTTATTTAAAATTTATATAGGTTTTAGTTTTTTTCCTTATAAATATATTAAAAGGATAGTTTGTTTGTTTAAACTTTATTTGCGTTTACTTAAAAATAAGAATATTTGAATTTTTAATAATAGTTTCATAAAAATATGCAAAAAAGTATAGTAATTGGATATTTTATATAGTAATTGGACACATGGACACATAGTTATTGGACATACAATTTTTATATAAACATAACAACTTTACATCAAATAACATAAATTGTTAAATATTTTTTAAAGATAAATTGCTGTTTTAGATAATTTTTTTATTTCGTTTTTTGTAAATATCATATCGATGAGTTTCTGCCAAAGTATCGCAAGCAACATTAACTCAAATTTCGGTAATTGAAAACATTTTTTTGTTTTAAAGTCTGTTTTAAACCATTAACATATAGGTTTTATAACAAGTTAATAGCTATAATTATAAGCTATTTACTTGTTATAAAACCTTTAGGCTATATTTAATTTAAAACAGACTTTTAAACAAAAAATGTTTTCAATTCCCGAAATTTGAGTTATGTTGCTTACGATACTTTGGCAGAAAGTCATCGATATAATTCATATATT